GGCATGCAAAGTCTTAGGACTGGCAGGAATAGCGATAAAATTCATTTCTCGTAAGTTGCAAAAGAAAGCATTAAAACACGATAATATTCTGATACTCGCCGAAGCAAAGTTGAACAGCATTGAGGATCATATTTCAACAGCAATGGCTGATTGTAAGATATCCGAAGAGGAGTTTCGTTTAGTGTTGTCAGAACTCACCAAATACAATGCAATGAAGCAGGAGATTCGATCAAAGACCAGTGGTATTAGTAGCGAAGACGAGGCAAAAAAGTTCATAGAACAGGGGAGACAACAATTAATCCGTGTCAAAACCAACATTTAGAAGAATGCTTACATAAATATATAATAATTGGAATTTATGCTCAGGGACAAAATTATCAAATGGAGAGAATTACCACAAGGTATATATACTAGCCACATAAAGAAACTGTGCACGGAGAAAATATATTCTGGATTGACATACAACACAGCAAGAACAAAATGATGCAGACGCTGTAGCAGCTGAATGATCGGACCATAAGAAAATGTCAACGGGACCTGACCAACATCTGTTACGATGACGTCAGAAGATCAAAATGGAGTAGGGGGTCATACGACAAAGTCACTTAGTCTATAACGGGTATGACTACCCTGTGCGTGAAACACAGCAGTGCATCTGCGACGCATGGAGTCCACCAAATGGGCATGGAAGGCCTGGGGAATGGCCTGCCATATCCTCCTCAAATTCTGTGCCAAGTCACGGACGTTATCTGGAGGATGTGGAAGACGACGCAGACGGCGCTCCATGTCATCCCACACATGCTCTATTGGGGAGAGATCTGGAGAAATTGCAGACCATGGCAGTAACATGACATTGTTATGGTGAAGGAAATCCATTGCGACGCTAGCCGTTTGAGGACGAGCGTTGTCTTGTTGAAATGTCAATCCCGGGTCATGAAGTTGCAGGAAAGGAATGACCACAGGCCCCAAGAATCTGATCTCTGTAGCCAACACCGGTGAGATTGCCCTGAACAACCACCAAAGGGGTTCGGTGCCGTGCTGTTATCCCACCCCAAATCATCACAGAGCCACCTCCAAAACGATTCCTCTCCACAATACAGTTGCGTGCATAACGTTCTCCAAAACGCCGGTAGACACGTTGGCGCCCGTCACTGTGGGAAATGTTGAACCTCGATTGATCTGTAAAGACAACATTTCTCCTCCATATTGGAGGTTGGCGAACATGATTTCGACACCATCTTAGACGGTTGACTCGATGACGGTGTGTCAGGATGGGACGTATGGCAGGGCGTCGTGGTCGAATCCCGTACTGACGTAAACGATTCCTGACAGTGTTGGGATGGATAGGGCGCAGTCCAGGAAATGTCTGGGACGTCGTTACTGCCTTTTGGAACCTGTGTCGGAGATGTGTAACTCGAATCCATCTGTCCTGTCTTGGCGTCGTTACTCGGGGACGTCCTGAACGTGGGTGGTCGGCAACGTCATTTGTGTTCTGATAACGCCTCACCAATGCCGATATCGTGTTACGATGGCATTGGAAATGTGTTGCCACCTGTTGTTGCCTCATTACGCTCGGATCATTCCAATGGCTTCATGACGCTGTGCAGCTGTCAATCTTGGCATGATTTGCTTGTGATATGCTTGTGTCTGCGCCTGAGAAGTTTTGAATTTTTGAATGACCACAGATCATGCTTTCCAAAGTGACAGCGAATTTTGAGTTGCACATGCTGTGTACAGCTGCACAGGATGCACGTGCAGTAACACATTGCACGTCCATAGGCCCCCATCAATGACGTCATATCACATGGCACGTGCATGAGCGTTTGAATGTCTCCAATAATTGCTGTGTTCAAACCTATATTTCATATATGGACGGTGTGCCCTTATATCTATATTTTCTCCATGCACAGTTTCTTAATGTGGCTAGTATATTATATCAGTGATATCAAACCAACCAAATACGGTCATCAATTGTTTCTTTCCAATTACCAAGAAGAGTATATAGTCTGGTCTCCTAGTAAAATGAACGAAGAACTTAGTAAAAATGTTGAATATCACTTCGTTAAAAATAATGGTATACGTATGAATAAAAATAATAGAGAATATTTTTCATTACAATTTAGTTTAATCTCATGACAATCGTTAAATCGCATCATCATTTACACATAAAAAATTCCCCCTGTAGTGATGGTATAGGTATATAAATCTGGCTCCAGTGGAAGTGGTCCAGAATCATCATTACCTATACTACTACTCACAAGTTGCCGTTCAATAACCAGCTATTGACGATGACTTCTTCAGTCTAGTCAAGATGCCTTCTACCACAATGAGTGTCTCTATGACATTATTCAAGGAGATGGAGAGTGTCAACTGTGTTGCAGTACTAAATCAGCCATGCCAATCTCGTCCTCTACAAGGACGCGTCCTGAGCGGGATTGGGGACTCACATGGATGGATAACAGGTGATCACAACAGGCATCTTCACATCAACTATCTGGAAATGTTGGTCATTTACCACTAATTCAACGCATGGACAGACACGTCGGTACTGGATGCTATGGACAACACCACGGTAGTATCACCTCCTACAATAAGCGGAAAAGAAATAAAAATGTTTGCTGAAAGAGAGTTTACATTTATTGGGCTCCCCAGAGTTGATCGATTTCAGATTAGAAGGCCGCCACATACCTGGCAAACTCAAAGAATCGATGGATTGTTTGTCCTGAAAGAACAATGTTAAATCGACGGAGTGGTATCTATATCACAAAGTCTTCAAGTGGATAACCACAACTCCACATCTCAACTTCTTTGTGATGTGTCTCGACAACAAGCTCCCAGTAACAGACCCACAGATGGGGAGTGCCACACATGGATGTAACTATCCCCATTGTGGCGAGATTTCTTCCCCATCTCTGACAGGAGCAGAATTTTCATCAGCTCCATGAGCATTGGCCAATCAAAATGATGGGCACCCATCCCATCCTGAATCGACTCATTTCAAATGGAGAATATCAAAATGACACATACATACTCAAAGCGGAACTTGTCAATCAAGCTGTCAGCATTAATGGACACACCTTACAAGTTTATGCATAAAGAGACTCTACTACAGGCTACAGTGTCACAGCTACATGCAACTGACTTATCTTTCCTCACTCACACACCAGATTGCGGATTTGTGAAGAATCACCTTGTAATCATGACCAGGAATTCATTGCCAACATTCAGTCTATGGCGAGAGGTCCGCAAGGACACCGGCAATACTCCATCCCTGCCCTGCATAAGAAGTTGTCAACAACACCGGATGTGACGTCAATGCAACCGGAAGTAACATCATAGAAGGAAGTGATGTCAATATCACCTATAGAAAATTTATTAGAAATGGAATCAACGTTGACACATCCGGAAGTGATGTCACAAGACCCAGAAATGAATTCACAGTCTGGAAGTGGTGTCATAAGAAAGCCAACATACTGGTATTTACAGTGCAAGTATCAGGCCCCGATAATCAGGGTATGGTGCATTTTCCCACCTTACCCTCTGGTGAGTTCTGGCTATAATGTAATAGAGGTGAGGCATTCAAAGGAATGATCAAACCACTGTTTAATATCATTGTGTAAAATTCTAAGAATACTACCTCTATTACGTCAGGAAGTAGTCCCTCCCACCTTCCAACAATATCTGCATCTAGTCGATGTAGATTTAGGAAAGAAGTGATGTTGCGTGTGCTGATTTTTTGTGTGTGATGTTAACTAATTACTAGAAAACTGGCTATGATGTAATATAGTTAGCATTTTCACAAGTCCACAAAAGTGATCTTCTACAGAGTTGCCAGATACCAAATGGAAACAGTGATACTTCACAAGGAAAAGGCACTAGTTCTTCCTGAATTTTAACAGAATTGGACAAGGGTTTTATGTGGCAGTCATGTTGAAAAAAATGTTGAACAATTTCAGGTGTCATCATTGCTTGGAACAAGCATATGAAGTATCAGTTTCATTTTTCCATGGGTTTCTAATTGGAAGTTTACAGAGCCTAGAGCGCATTTTTAGAGAATTTAGGAGCAAGATCAAAATGAAAAGGTTGAAACAAGGTCAAAACTTAAAATATTACGCAAAAATGGGACATGTGTTGAGCCTCACTACTTACTATACTTGCAATCAGCAGCTTTAGCTAGTAGTCCTAACACTAGTCTACAGATGACGCCAGTGCCGGATGACAGACAAGCAGGTCATGATAAAAGCTCACTTGACTTTCAGTAGGGTCCCACTTCTAACTATGTCAGTACTTAATTTCAATACTTCTTATAGATGGATGGCCGATTCATAGCCATTATTGAGTTTCTTAATAATGGCTGTGGTGGGCATGTTTCACATCAGATCAAAATCCTGTTTGCAACTTTAAGAGACACCATAGCTATATTCATTCATACAAAGTCTCAATTTCATAGGCCTTGTAGTTTCAGAGGAGGTGTTAAAAATGCACTAACACTAGGAAGTCAGGGCTATGTGACAGTCAAAGGTCACAGCCAGATAAAAAATCAAAATATGCCACAAAACTAGAACTGAATAGAAATAGTCCACACAACAGCTGTTGAGTTGGCATAGACAAGCTTTCAAAGGCCTGGAGTACTGATGATGTTACAATCAAATTTGCAGACTGTTATCCTGTGACTAGTACTGTAATATTTTAGTTGGACTAGTTATCATACATGTCTCCTAACCTGGAATCTGAATGACAAGCTCTCACGTATCTTGCATTTGCGTCAATCTGATTCAAAGTTCATGCAAAACAGGAAATTATGACATGTTTGTCAGTCAGAAAGTATTATGGAGCTAATTGTTCTGTTTGTACAGTTGTAGATGTCTTTATGATTTAATGTAATAAAAAACAGTTAATCTGATACAAACTGGTTTCAGTAAAACAAGTAAACGGTACAGGATTTTTAAAAACAGTGACTTCCTCAGTTGTTAGCACTTTGCACTGATCACAATACTCACATCTATGCAAGGTGATGTCAGAGGCCTTGGAAATGTGACAGTTTGGCTAAAAATAAAAAAATATATATTGCCTTCATTGAATGACTTTCATTAACAATTGCTAACAAAATCTTCAGCAAAACTTCACATTGTTAGTCTGTACTCATAAAGTTTCTTTTTCAATAAAGCAAAGTCAGAGTACCCTCACTATCCTTATAACTTAGGTATGAGGTTATTAAAATATATCAAACCTTGTGTCCATGGTCATCAGTTCATTTTTGTGAGAGGTGAACCGATAACTTTGTGTCCTACTGCCAACGAAAGGTTTCTTGGTAGCTCTAGTTCTGTCTCCAATGTCTTCATCTCTAAATTCATACACTGATACATTCTTGTTTGGAGAATTTACAGATGGTGCTGTAGGCCTATTTGATGTCAAGGTCGTGTCGTTTAATGAAATTGCTTTTGATGTTGAGGTTAGTCCTGGTGTTGTCTCTGAAACTTTTCCTCTGCATGCAAGTGTTTTTGGCATGCTTTTATTAGCTTGTTGATTAATCACTAAATTCCTCTGCCTCAGTACTCTGCCTTGAACAGGTTCAGAAGATGGTGCAAGTTCAGATGTCAGAGGTTTGGATTTCTCAGCTTTTGCAAATTTGGACCTCTTCTTCTTCCTTTTATTTGTCTTCTTTTTTTCAATATGTGTGACAGTTTCAGTTACTATTGCCTCTGTCTGTTGATTTTCAGCATGTAATAGGTTTGAAATAAGTTGAGTTTCATTTCTTAGAGGTTGAACAGTGGCAACTGGGGAGAATGTTGATTTTGAAAAGAAAGATCTGGAATTTAGCTTCTTGTAGTTTGCTGTTAGAGGGGATACAATTGCTGATTCACGTACTGGTAATGATCCATTTGCTTCACATCTTCCAAACACAACAGTGGATTTAGGAAAGCGACAGGCCTCATTTGTACTCTTTCTATCCAGACCATCATACTTGTTTGTGTTTGGTCCTTTGTCCCATCTGAACCTTCTCCCAACATCTGTTTGTACGTTCAACTCTTTATTCTTTTGTTCTCGCTGTTTTACCTGTTCTGCAGTCCTCAGTTGTTGTAACTCCTTTACATGGTTCTCATGCAAACATTCCACCTGCTTCTTAAAATCTTCATGGTATTGACCCATCTTATCCTCAAACTGGGGTAGGGACAAGAAGCTACTGAACTGATCATGCTTACACTCTGCATCTTTAATGTCTTGCACTGCACTCTCAAGCTGCTGCTCTTGTACTTTCAACTGCTTGTTAAACTGAGTTTCAACAAATCTCTCCACTGATTCCCAGTGCTTTTTGAAAAGAGCCTGTATCTCTTTCCTTTGCAGTCCTTGATCTCGGGAATGATATGAGACTTCTGTTGGCCTATCGATAAGCCTGGAGATGTGACTTTCTAGCTCTTCATTCTGTTGCTCTTGTGCCATCTTCAGCTGTTCCAAGATATCTTGCAGACAACTACTCTCCTTTTTCCTGATGTCTTTGCGTAAGTTGGAAACTTCTGTCATCAATCTGAAACATCGTGCATATACTGTTTCAGTTTCATCCATTTTCTAGAAAAGTTTCTATTTCATAACCATATTCAAGTCAAAAGACTATCTATATTATTTCAGTAAAAATTCAAAATGTTTTTTGTTTTCAATATGTAACAGCACAAATTGTAATATCATTCCTTGAGGAATATTGAGCCCCCTTATGGCAGGGAATATCAACAAAAGTCTTTTTCTTTTGATATCCGTTGCAGTCTCTAGAAAAAAAGAAGTTTTTGTATCTTCTACAACTGCACATTTTTTAAACAAATCAAGGACTAATTATGATTCTTTACATTCATCCACATATGATGTGTTCTAGTGGTTAGATCCCCTGACCGCGTCATCTAAAAGATGTTGAAAGATGGACTTGTAGTTACCCTGTCCGGTGCTTGGCATAAAGGATAAAACAAAAGACTGACTATACGCAGCCACACACACGTGTATGCCTGTTGCTGTGTCAATGCATTAATATTGAATGTGACATTAAACCCATTTGAAATACTGTTCAAAGCAACATTAAACCAACCGCAACATTAAACCTACCCACTCACTCAAACCAATTTCACCTCAACTCTATAAGCTTGCAATAATGTTTACTATAAATGCAGAATATCATAAGGGACTACACCTTTTTTCTGTGTCTTTGACCTGAGTCTGATGAGCCTTCTTGAGGTCGGAGTAGAGTTTCTGCTGTTGCTCTAGCTGTTGTTTCTGCTCATGAATCTGTTGAGTGTACTGCTCATGGTTGTCACGTGTAGTCTCCAACAGCTCTGACAGTTTCTCATCCACTTTCTGATGGGGAGGTAGTAATTCTTTTTGCAGGGCACACACAATCTTATTTGGCTTATCTTTCTCCTGGTCATCAATAATCTTCTCCAAAGATTGAATCTTGGCATCTCTCTGTAGACAAATCATGAATAGGTTTGAATCATAAATTAATGGTTCCTTGTTATCTAGTGATATGAAAGATACATTGATTGCATTATCATAACATTGTATTTTTGTAAAATTAGTGTTGAAAGATTCTGGCTAATATCTGTAATACATCTGCTACTCTGGAGGCAGCAGATATTCTATTATCAAGGTCCATTATGGTAACTACCATAGATCTTTCTCCTTCAGTATTCTTTATCAATTCGAAGTATTCAACTACATGTATTTTGTTATATATTTTGTTCAATCTGAAATGGATCAGGTACTAGCTACCACAACTTTAAATCCACTATTCAAAATAGATTAACAACAGAGAATTAGATAGAGATACAACTTTTACCATGGCTAGATCTCTTTCCAAATCATGCATCCTGCATGAATTACTGTCTTTCTCCTGAATAGCATTAAGAATCTTATCTTGGTGTTTGCACAGGTCATCTAAGACTATAAACAGAACACATAGTAATTTTATTTGTCATCAATAAGTGTATTATGAAACTGTTTCAGCCATTCACAATGACCACACAATCCAATACACTACACAGATTACATACTAGAGAACAGTGAGATTCAAACATGAAGGAAGACATGAATAGCAGACTCACTTAGCATAATGTTTTCATGAGTCACAGCCTGAAAATTCTTAGGAATTTCAACATCATAGATTTAATATTTCTGAAATATGTTACTATCTCACCACCAAAGCTCTACAACTGGTGTGGATTTTTTGGTGGTTTAGCAATTGTATCTGTTAACAAAACTACCAAGCAAAATAAATGCTTCATTGTGTTGCATACTTCAATGCAACAAAAACCTTTTGATGGTAGTGGGAGTAATTCCTTTCCCTACTGTTCATTGATAGAAGGAGGTGCAATACTCACATGACGTTATGATTTGTTGTAGATTCTGTTCAGATTGATCTGCAGTGTGTTCCAATTTTTCTCGTACAGCACATAAAGTCAGTCTTACCTGCAAATGTATATACATCTGATGACATCTTGCAATTTCAAAAAAATTTGGAACTGCTTACATATACATATTTTTCCTTGGAATAGCATAATAATTCTGCCCTCTTTCAGGATGGAAACGTTTTATCACAGGTTTGCCATATATAATCCATTAAGTCCACAATTTATTAACAGCGTTAGAAAATAAGTGGCATCCCATGGTTTTGCTGCTGTTTTTTTATGGGGTGACCTCACTTTGCTAGCAGGATTTGTCGTGAAATCAATGAGAACAAACCATTTGAATTTACGGACCCCCTAAATCTTTCAATATTAGGGCTATGACAAGAACCCCTTGGCTTGACTTTCATGCAAAATTTAGAACACTGATAAATGTATTAACTCTCAACATGCTGAGATAAACAGCACATTAACATTAAAGCAGAAACTCCAGTGTTTCTCATTAACAAAAGCTTAGACATATTTCAGAACAGCTTGTCAAACCTCTTTGGAGCTATCTTGAACAGTATTCACCACTTGTTGTAGAAAGTCCCTGCAAGTGTGCATGTGAATTGTTAGAAGACTTTAATTTCATAAAAATCATTAGTGTTGAGTCTTAATGTTTTCTATGAAATTGTTTTGAAAAAAAACCCAATGGGGGCAAAATAGACCACTTGGCATAGAAAGAGCAAATGTTGGTAAACAATAAAAACATCAACATAAACTCATAAGTTTGATTGTTCTTGCATTCATATGTTGTAAATAATCTTTTTGTGCCTATAATGATGCAAAAATAACCTGACCTTGAATTAAAATACTCATTTTCATTCACGTAAAGAAACTAACAGTTTTAGTCCACTAGTCCTTATAATGATAACATAAAACCCTTAAAAAGGGCATATTTCTACAAGTCCTTATGATACCTTAGCTGTTGGACAGTTTGGCAAGGACTATAGGACTAGTTTCTAACGCTGATAATTTGTTATGATGCCTTGAGTTTTTACAGTCATGATGATGCTTTGGACCTTCATCTAATGTAAATAACCATGTAAAGACAACAAGAGGACAAAGTCATTGATATCCCCTGCAATAGCAATGTATGTATGAAACTTCCCAAACTATCAAAAGGCACCAGTTCACCACTAGACCTATCTATGTGCCAAGTTTGCTGAAGAAATATTGTATGTTTTTCAAGATCTGCTCCAGAAACTAGCACTACCCCCATTTTCAGGTGAAGTCAAAATTGTTGCCATAGAAACTCGAAAAATAAATTTAAACAAAATCCCAAAGTATCAAAAGGCCCAGTTCACCACATGGCCCTGATTTACAGTCAAAGTCAAATTTGTTGTTGTAATGCCAACTTATATATATATTCTTTCTAAATCCTAAACTATCAAAAGGCACAAGTCCACCACCATGTGCCAGTTTGGTGAATAAATATTGCACCTTTTTCAAGATTTGATCCGGAAACAAGCACTTCCCCCTTGGAATCTTGACAAATATATCCCAAGCTATCAAAAGTCACCAGTTCAACTCAATGTACCAAGTTTGGTGAAGGCAAATTGTATAGTTTTCAAGAACTGTTTCAGAATCGAGCACACCTGCTGTTTTCAAAATCAAAGTTGTTGCTATGGAAACGCAAAAAATGTTTTTGTAAAACATCTTCAACTACAGTGTATCGCTGTTACCAAGGCAAGTATATTTAAAGTTTTTGCTTTACTGTTTTGGTCTACTGTCTTAAGTATTGATAAAATACATGGATCCAGAAAACAGCTAACTTGGTTAATTTGGGTACCCACAGGACTACCCAGAATCTTGCTTAATCATGATATATTGTTGAATGACAATAATTCACTATGACTCTATAGTTACACTACAAGTCACTTATATATGCATTTCTTTCTGACTATGCGCATATTTGATATTAACATTTCATATGAGTTTAGATGAACTTACGAATGGCTGAAAAATGTTCACAACACATCAAGTACCTTTCATCTCTCTCCTTGGCCCTTGTTTTGTTTATCTGTAGCTGCTGAATACCAAAATTAGATTTGGTCTGCAAAGGTCTGCTTGTCACAGTGCTAGTGCTGGTATTTTGTTTGCTTGCAGGCACCTGCTTGAATGCAGAAGTGGCTTTGTTTTTCCACTTATCATACAGAGTGGGTTTCCTGCTGTGGGTACCATGCATCATCTGCAAGCAAAAAGTTACAAATTCTTGCTTTGTGTATCCTAGAATGAGATTTTCCTTCTCTTGTAAAACTGTCTTTCAGTAATGTTACAGTAAGGATGTCGTGTTCGAAATTAAACAGTCTACTTGTCTGGCAATAGTTCAATACAGAAAGAAATATTTGAACTTGCAGGAAAGAATTGTTTGAACTTACAAGGAAGATTAATTTCATTTTTATTTTAATGTCCTTTGTATGCGGAAGATAAAAAGAAATACAAAAGATAAATGAAAATTGTCTACAACTGTATAGAATTGCACATAACTGATCTTAAAAGGCACCCTGTACATACTTCTTGTTAAACTGTCACTGTACTATTGGCCTCATGGCCCAAAAATACGAATTAAATGTCAGTCTGTTTGTCTGGTACTATGCATCATCTGCAAGCATAAATAAGTTACATATGCATTCTTTGTGTCCTTGTGCAGAATGATATGTTTCTTCTTATGTGAACAGTTTTTCTGTTATGTAACAGTGATGATGTCATGTTCGAAATTAAATAGTCCCCTTATCTGAGAATAGTACAATACAAAAATAACTTGTGACATTTCCTTGTGAATTACCACTTTTACCTTAAGGCAGATCTAAACTAAACAACAGATCTTTTTTTTTTAATGTAGTGTAGTAATTTGCTTTTCTAGAACTGGACAATGAACCATGCCATTTTTGGGTGTACATATCTTTTAAGGTCTGTGTCAAACGGGAGAAGAAATGCTGTGGCATATCTACATGTTGCTGAATAGACTGAGTCCATGTCACAACTTGGAATTCCAAGCTTGAAATACTGTAGTGGAAACAAAACTCAAGGACCTAAGATCACCTAAGGACCACCTGTAATCTTTTTATTTACTGCCACAAGGATCTGAAGCTCACCTTAATATTTCTGGAATATTTGCAATATATACTGCTACAAATAAAAAATACAAAAACATGAGTTAATGACAATATCACAAAATTTGTAAAAGAAGATAGAAAACATGGTTTAGAGTTCAAAACACTCCAAAATGGTTTTATAGTTTTACTTTCTCACAAACAGAGCTCTACAATGGGCGTGTACATTGTTTGTCTGTTAGCAATTGTATCTGTCAACAAAACTACCAGGTACATATAAATCTTTCATAGTGTTTTCATTGGTTGTTGTCACCAAAATGCAGGAAAAGAACCAATCTCAAAAACATCTTATTTCTCGAGTAAAGCATGAATACAGCAAGGTGTCATTAGTTCTTCATACAGATATGGGGTATAAAGTTATATTCAAAGGCAACCTGAATTATCACTGTAAACTCAGCAATGTTTGAATGTCCCCACAGTGTGAATACAAGACTGTGCCAGTGACGTACCAGAGACTGTTATGTCCAGGGCAACGTGTTTACTGTTACCACAGCCAGGGAAGGCTCAAGAACAGCAGCTACAATCTTGGGTCAACAAGAAATTAAAAGCACCTATGCTGTATGCCTTTGACTTAGTAGCATTGTATTACATGCCCCATGTCCTTATGTAGGCCTGATTATGACCAAAAGGAACCATACTGCCTGTCAAATAATGGTTGCTAAGGCACAGACATTGGTTATGTCGATGCTGGCATGGAGTTCTCTTCTCTAATAAGTCCAGATTTCTGAGACAGTATGTTGTCCTCTGTTTCTGGCAACATCAAGATATGCATACATACCAACAGGACAAATCCAGAGCACACAGCAGGTGCTTCTATGGACTTCATACCTGTTATGTCATCGCCTGCATCAACCATCGAACACTTGTGGAATTACCTGGGACAGTGCATTGCAAGTCAAACTCAAATCGGCAATGTTGGAGAGCTGAACCATGCCCAGCAACGTGAGTGGTGTAGGATACCACAGGACGTTATCCAGAGACTGATTGTTTTGTGGCATGCATTGCATGCAGAACTGTTCCTACCTGATCCTGACTTTGTCTTTTGACTTGTGTTTCATTTACTGTTCAACAGAATTGTGCACTTTGCAATACAATTTAGCAAAACTAACTTTTAGCTAAGTTATCCGAGTGATTGTATGAATTGTGCAAAAATATCATTTGGTTTCGTGTCAATTTCGCTTTTTGCCACTGGTGCATTTTCAATGCAGGTGAGCTAACATAAAATTATTAAATATCTGCATTATAATTCTCATTATGAATATTTGACACATTCCTTGTTCTCCCTATGATAACGTGCCGAGCCCATTGTATTGACATAATGTCCAATCATAAGAGATCGGTATAGACCAAAAGGAAATGATTCGAGCTCAGTCAAAAATAGATACTGTGCTGACAGACAGACAGATTATTTATTAGATTATTCATTAAAAATACACATATTTCAAACAGAAATATAATGTATAAGGCAGTCTAACAGTGTAGGCTACAGTCTACCCAGTGGACTATATAACAAAAATAAATACCTCATTCTGTGAGCCACTGGATAACTGTTGAGTAAACATATCCTGTGTGCTGACTTGTGAGAACTCTTGTTGAGAATATGGAAGTTGAGAATACTGCTGCGACCCATATGACAGTTCACAGGTATCCTGTCGTTCACTGCTGAAACATTAACCAAGGTACCTGTAACCACACATCTTCCCGAGGCAAGAAAGTTAACTGACTTTAGAAGTCCAGTTTCACCCTTGCCGAACTAGGCTGGAATTACTGGACTTGATTGTAGCGCCACCAGTGGCTATTACCAGTTATGTCCCTTCTAAGCCTCTCCTATGGACCAATCAGATTCCACCGCTCGTATCACTTGCATTTGCTTCACACAAAATAGTGGCGCCCAGTCAGGAAGATTGGATTGATAATCAAGATCTATACTGTGATAAAACAGGTCTCACATTGCAAAATGCATCAAATCACGTGAGCACCTTGATTAAAAACATGAAATGATTTGGCAAATATCTGCTGACAACAAGTTGGCAGTGCACATGCTTTGCTAATCCTGCAATCGATCAAAATCTGCACGACAGTTTACAAACTGGATTTTGATTTCGGCGCGCGATTTTAATTGGACTATGCACAGACTCGTTAGTGCAGCCAAAATGTAACTCCATAATACCAGCCTAGTTTGGCAAGGGTGGAAACTGGTCTTTTAACTGGTCAGTTAATTCTCTTGTCTCGGAAAGATGGTAACCACAGTTACAGAAGCTTACATGGCAACAATGATATAATGATGAAAAGAAAATTTTAAGGGTTTTGCTATGTTAACATCATAAGGACCAGTGGAAAACTGTTAGTTTCTAATGCTGTTGTGGGAGGAGAGCCTGAAGTGATGCTGGTTTTATCACTTGGGTAAAACCCAAGAGCACAGGTATGGTGCTGACAGATCTGAATACATAATCAGGGTGAACCTGGATTTGAACCGAAGACTATAGGTTTTTGGCGTGCCCAAGGGAAGCAAGTCTGCACAACAAAGAGCAGTTACAGTTAAAATTAAGAACACAAGAGACAGTTGAATTTCAAACACAAAATTAGGACAAATGTCCTTCCCCACTTTCTGTGAGTTGCCTCGGAGGGGTTGAGAACGCTGTGTGGGATGATCAAGGTTAGGGCATATGGAAACAGGAAAGCCATTTGCTTTCCCTTTGTGAATAAAGCTAAAAGTTGAAATGTCAGAACTTAGGATCACCTTAGGCCTAAGGTTGTTTTGTGGCCCCAGGCTTCCGTTCCACAAAGCGACTGTCGTAGGTCAATGTAAGTCTTTGTACATAGGATCGCTTTGTGGAACATGGCCCAGGAAATTGGTGCACACAACACCCATGTTCAGCCCACAGATGTTCAATTGGGTTGAGAAAAGGATCTTTAACTAATCAAGGCAGTACTCAGATGTTCTTATTCAGAAAAAATATTCAATGACACACAAGCTTTGTGTGGGCAGGTGGGCATTATCATGTTGGAATTCAAACTGATGATCAGTCCTACATGCAAAGGGTAGCAAGACTGGCATCAAAACCTCATCACCATAATGAACACCTGTGAGTCAAACACAAATGAAGTCTGTCCTATTGCTGGAGGGGTGATCCCAGCCCACGTCACCATAAAGGCCAGGTTGTGCTATGGTACACTGCTGGTAGCAAAAATGACAATCTGCAAATATCACAAAGCCGAGATGAAACCTTCATTTGTCACTGAACATGCTGCGCATCCTCTTTATCCCCAGGGCTAGCATTTCGGTAAACATACACTAACCCCTGGATCCATTTCCATGTTTCTTGCAATCTCAAATTACCTTCCCTTGATTTCCATGTGCCAGTTTATGGGTAGGCTGCTAGGTCTAACGTACCAATCAGAATGTGAGTTACAAAACCTCAATGTTGGGATGGCCAGTCTGATTGATTATGATCGAGTTTGCGAGAAATTCAACATTGAAAAACTGACTGACACTCAAAAGAAAGCCCTCAAAAGTCTTTTGATGGAAAGGATGTCTTCATGGCCATTAAAACTGGCAGTTGCTATGGTTTCTTGATAATACAAGTAACCTTCCTAATACCATATTCCTTTCCCTTATGTCAACGTTTGATTGGTCAGTAATATGTCAGTGAATTCAAGGGTGGGTCATTGAACTATTTGCATGGAACCAGGGGTTAGTGTAGGTTTACTGAAATAGAGGATGCCAATAACACAATTGCCTGCCGCTGTGCCCACTGCATCTTGGAGTGATTCACTGTGCGATGACTTTTTAATCCTGGAGCTTTCAATAGATTGCAAACAGTTCAATTATTTAATTGCTTGTGGTTGATGGCTCTAAACTCAGCGTTTTTGCATGATGACATTTCTTTAATATACTGAACTGCAAAAGAAACATCACCATGGATAGTTCTATGAGAAGCCTTATTTGTCCAAACACTGTAAACATACTTTGAGACATAATAAAAAGATGAAACTTGGCAAAACTGATCATCAAGGTTGAAATTAAAGTGTCAAATGTTCTTAAAGTGAAACACAACACTAGTCGACCCTCTGTGCAAGACCAATTCCACCCCACACCATGATGCTTGGACCACCCCACGAGTCTCTCTCAACAACACAAGCATCCGAATAACATTCCCCACAGCGTCGCCAGACTCTCTGCCATCTGCTGTTGAGATACAGTAACGGCTCTCGTCTGAGAAGAGGACTCTTCTCCACTGCTGGTGGTGCCAATGCTGTTGCTATGTTGCCCACTGAAGATGGTCCCGGCGAAGACGTGGTGTCAGAATGGGTCCTCGGTGTGGCCTGTGACAGTGGAGGTGTCTGCTCGTCAATCGTCAACACATGATGTCCTCACTAATGTGTTGCTGGTGTGTCCATGTGGTCTGTCAAGCAATTTCCGCAGCAGTAACAAAGCGATTTTGAAGATGCTGTCGCACAATCTGACGATCCTGACGTCGGGTGGTGACCCTTGGTCTTCCATGTGGTCAGTAATCTGTAGTGCTGGTGGTCTGGTACCGTTGCTGGAGCCTGTATATGGTCCTTACGTGGACTTGAAATGCACTGGCTACTTGCCGGGGGATTTGTCCAGCTTGCAATCGTCCAAGGGCTTGGTGTCGCTGATTTCTTGTCAATCTTGGCATTTGGTAGCAATTCAATAACAAATAAATGTTATCCGATCTGGATGGATTTTAATAGGGGAATAAATGGGGTAATACATGTAAATTTCAATTTGCACAGAACTCACGAGCAGCGTGTTACCATGGCAGTTGCCCGATCGGTTTTATTGTCATCTGCTTTGTTTGTTTATCATCAAATTTCATTGTTTCGGACAAGGTAATGTCAAATTTTAGAAACTTTGACAAAATTACCCAGATATTTAAATGACAACTTTTCATCCAATGTTTCTTTTGCGGTTCAGTATAGTATGAGGCCTAATTTGATAATCTTCAAGCTTTGTTGATTTTGTTTATGTCTACAATTGCCTATATATTCCATAAACTTGAAATCACAAAATGAAAAATCTTGTCTTGGATATTACCTGAAACTGTCTGACAATAACTCTCTTGTTGACACAACATTTTGAAACATTCTGATCAGCAGTAGGTCTATGTGGTGTCTGAATAGAAATGCAAGTAAGATTAATAAACAAACAAATAAACAAACAAACTGATGAACAAATCATTCAATATACATAATCTAATCGAAAGGCCATAATTAATTATTAGATTTTCAATCTTGCCTTGCCTGCTGGCATCACACATGAAATCACATTTGTACCTACAGACATGGGTGGTGGGGTAGCTTAGTGGTTTTATAATGTGTGAAGGCCATTTCTCCTGTCCCCTGCCATGATATTTCTGGAAAATTGTTAAAAGCGGTGCAAACCCATACTCACTCATTCACTCACATACAAAGAAAATCACCATGTGTTGCCTGGTTTGTTCACTTGATAAACTACACCACATATACAGTGTCACCAAATTTTTTTAAATTTCACCTTCTTACATATTTCGAAACTTTGGATGAACATTTAATAATTAACTTTGTTTGTTTGCCGCACTCACCAATATTCCAGCTATATGATGGAGTCTGTAAATAATCAAGTCTTGACCAAACAATTGCAGAGGTAGATTTAACAACAAATTCATGTATAGCCAGCTGGTCTTGCTCCTTTCAAAAGTTACTGGCCCTTCTCCAAACTAACTAGCCCAGAACTAAATGTTACAGGCAATGACTGAGTTTCCTGGTCCCTGAAAATTTAAGAACTCCTCACCCTTAAAATGTCATTTTCTGCAGCCTGAGATTAAATCATGGCTTCCAACTGCTTCATTTTGTGGCAATTTTAGGAGCAAATAAATATGTTCTTGTACAGAACATTACAAAATGGCTGCCGGTTGTGTCATTCTACTGAGATGATCTTTGAGCCAATCATCCCCCCTAAATATTTTCTCATCAAAATTATGTGATACACAAGCCGTGTCCAATCAAAAATATTAAAGATAAACAGAGAAACAGTGAAATATTGCCAGCCAGACGGGCCAACTACTTTGTTTCAGCAAGCCTTTCATAATTTTAACTGGCCACGGGCCAACAGACCAGCAGTTAAATCGACCCCTGCAACTGGGATCCGATGACATGCATCAACCAAGTCAATGAACCTGACCTCCCGATCCTGTTAGTCAGTCTCCTCTTATGACAAGCATAGTTGTCTTTTACAGTTGCTGAAGATCTATTCTAACCCAGATCTTCACAGGTTAATAATTAACTGATGTTTTTTTAACAGACACAATTTTTAAAAAATGTGCCACAGTTCTCTTGCTCTCAGATACTTTCAAAATGAGCTGAATGTTATGTTGTCAAACCTTAGTGAAGTGTCCCCGTGTAATGTGATCTGGTTGATATGAGTGGACAGAATAATCTCAGTGTGCTATTCATATTGTTTTGCTGAAACAAACCTTCGTTCAGAGTATCACCATAACATTGGTACAGAAATATCTGAGATCTATGAACATTATTAACATTAGCCCAAATGAGTGCAGATTGTGGCACATGAAAGTAACTTTACAGTCATTTTTGACTCACAAGTTCCAGCTTGATCATAATGATTAAGGCCTATTCTTAAATTTTCCTTTTATTTTCAATTCTAAGAAAAATATTTATGCTTAATCTGAATGCCATGATTTAGTTTGTTTCCAAGGTGGTGCTGAATTAATATCCTGTCATTATACCAGATTTCTGAGCCTTTATAATTTTTAGAAGATATGATATTGGATCTACAGTGGATGACACTGGAATATGACAAGAAACAAACCCAAACAAACAAAGCTTAGCCTAGGTTTCTAGATCTATAGGCTCGCCTATCAGATTCTATTTCACGTTTCAGTGTGCAGCAAACATTTTGAACTTGACATTTGTCATTTGTAATGCATGTCAAGTTCATTCACAATGATACAGTTAGCCTTAATGTCTCTGACTAATTCTAAGTGCTTCTATGATTAAAAAACGATAAAATGTCGTCACATGAAATCTGCCATGGACTTTTTCGTAAAACATTTTGTAGCTGGATCTGCTTGCTTTCGGAATGTTCCCGATTTTCGTGCCATATTCGATGCTTTGCGACAGATCAAGATTGTTTTGTTTTTTTGTTCAATGAAATTTTATCTTTTAATATAAAGATTTAACATCAGTTAACATCCCTTCACTTACCTACCAAATATATTTATGTCCATGTACAGCAGACGACACAAGTTTGACCCGGAAATACTATATTCGAGCGGAAACGTACGGAAATGGCCGAGTAAACAACGTTATGTCACGTGACAAAGAGCACCTGTTGGGATTGGCTTTGATGTGACCACATGACCAGGTAAATCGCGTGTATTTACATACGAAGGGGTTGACTAGCTACCGTAAACAACGGATTGTTTATTCCGCCATTGCTTGGTGGTACCTGGTTACCCACATGCTGGTTAATCTGGATATCTGAAAAATAAATTTTATGAAGTCGCAATGAACTGACGGATAGTAAATCAGAAATTTAAGATGGCAAGCGAAATTGCTGGAAGTTGGGTAAGAACTTTAAAACAAAAATCATATTATATTGATTAGGATCGAATTTTCAATGCAGATCGAGTGATCTACGTGAAGACGTTAAACTACGATAATGTATATATATTATTTTTACTATAGTGTACAAATGTTTTTTCATGCTGTCATTTAGTGCAGCACTTCGTTTGTTTGACATCATTATCACCACATTTGCAAGGTAAAATAACAGAAAAATATGAATATTCAAATAATGCCAAGTATAAAAAATAACAAACATCTAACATCTTAATGCTTACTTTCTAAACTGTTTCATCTCTTGATCAAAATCCTAACTGAAGCATAAATATAACAAATTATCCTCATGGCTGTAGGCCTATTTCATTTGGATGAACCCCTTTTCTTTTTCAAAGTCATTTTGTAATGGCTCTGGTTTTCATCAAGAAAGCAACTTTCATGGTGCTGTCCAATGTATTTGTGCTATATTCTTTGTACGTCAACTTTTATACTTTATGATATCTCACTGCAGATGCTGATGCACCTTTATATAGCAAGTCACAGCTGTTTTAATAAATTCATTCACAGATACTGTTGGGAAGTTTATGATTGTATCTGAGAGTATGCACATATGCACTAAAGATAAATACTCATCAATCATGTAATTAAGACATGTTATATAATTTGTAATAGTTGCAAGAGCAGATTTTCACATTTTTCGACTTGGTTGAAGGATTTCTTGAGTCAGCGGCTGTTAAAGGGCCAGTATGTCAATGGTTTATGTATGAAATAATTCTGGAGTGTGACATAACACCTTTTGTTCATGCATGTTTTAAATTCTGAAACCAAAACAACAGAGCTCTGCACAGTGAAGCTGACAACATAAGCGCTGCGCAGAATATTTGGTTTTGGTCATGTTTTTATTGGAGGCAAACTGAAGAGAAAATTGAGTGTTTTTCTTGGAGATGAGTTACAAAATAATAATTGCCAGCTCGATTTGATTAGAAGCCAGTGTTTATCAAAGCATGGATTACAATATGCTGACAGCCTGAAATGTTTATATTCGAGAGATATATTTTTTCCAGAATTTAATTTCCCATGATTAAGGATGCATATAACACACATATTATACACAAATAAATATGTCTTGTGTACATTGATCAATCGGAAGGGGTGCTAATTGGGATTGTTCACTTGCCAATATATCAGCAAATATCGCTGTGGGCGCTTATAAGAGCGGGGCGATTATTACGTCGAATACAGTATTTCCAATTGCGTATTAAGCCTTTGTTTACATTGGTTGTACGGCTCCACATGATGTCATCGAAGCCCTATGGAGAGCTAGCCATACAGCCTCTGTGATGTATAAAGATATATTGCCATGCACCTCAATGTCGCAGTTGTAATAGCATATCTATAAAATTATGCAAAACAATATGTAAAGCCAAAGAAAGGCTTACATTAGGCACATCTGTTCTCATTTGAAATAAGTGAATATGTTCACAAACAAGAGTATAGTCCGGTCACATGATCAGATATGAGAACAGCAAAACTTGTTTTTTGAGGAACATTGCCATTCGAGGGGTGTTTGGGTGTTTGAGTCCACTAAGGTAATGGGAAACAACTACAGGGAAAGAGCTTTATGATTATCCACACAGATAAACTGCAGAACTGCACAAAATCCTATGAGAAAAAATCCCATTGAGATAGATCTATATGAGTTGTATTTGGGTTAAGTGTTTCCAAGGTCCAAAGGTAGAATATTCCAGCAAATGAGAAAGATGAATACCAGTACTTTTAATCATGTTTATCAAAATCGTCTCTGCAAAAGAATATGCAGAAAGGTTTTGGGTCTCTTTATCAGAAGATGAATGTTTCAATGTGGTAGTTTGATGAATGCAACTGGTGTCAAATTATTGCCAAGAAATGTAAGGTACATGGCAGAAAGTGTAGGTTTTACATGTATGTTCAGTGACATATAGCATGTGCAAGGCCAGTACGAAAACAATGCCATACCACATGATCTATTTTTCAGTTGATGTCATCTTATTTTGATCCTATATTCTTCCAGTTTCCCTCTGGCTATTATGGGCATTACCGCAGTAAGTCAAGGAATGACTTTGTGTGTGAATATCGCCAGTTAGCCAAACCACAGCCACCTGAGAAGTTCTACAGAAGAGCAAAGGTAACAGTTTTGAGTAACTAAGGCCCCATTTTTTTCACATGCTTTACAGATTTTTTTGGGTAGGTGGGGGGAAAAAGTAATTTGATAATAGCAATTCAATTTTTCAGTTTTCTGCTCCACTTCTGGTTGGCTGGTATAAACAATGAAAGATGGTTGAATGTGGGAGGAGAGCCTGCAACACAACTGTTGCTTTTAGCAATGCAAACCTGCTGAATCAAGCTGGAATATGCTATTTTAGCTTTCTTTCAAGCTGTTTAATTGCACAAGAAGAAGATTTTTTTGTTCTGTCAGTGTCTTGCATTTTCCTCTTTTTCAGATCATGGTCCCTTAAGGAAAAAAGACTGCCTAATTTGAAAATGAAAAATATGATTTGTAATATTCAATATGCGGCGATAAGTAAATTGCAACATTCACAGGCTTTGAAATCATAGCCATCAGCCTTCAAAGTTTACTAGGAGTTAGATCTAAAATAGCTGTATCCCCAAATCCCAAAGGCTTTTGGCTGATTTCTCTCCCAAGTTTGACTGCTGCTGTGGTCTCGTGGATAGAGCGTTAGCCTAGAGAACAAAAGGCCAGTGGTTCGATCCCCGGCTGCATCTACAAGCAGACACACGTGCATCACACAGGCACACACACATCCTGCAGGAACAGATCCTGCAGTTGTTATCAAACCAGGACTACATGTATTTGCAGGTAGAACCAATTTAGAAATGGTTCGATAGCTTGGTTCTGTCTGACTTATATCATGGAATGGACATTACCACAACATATTTGTCTATCAAAGTTAACACACAGCAGTGGGAGATCATTTATGTTCATTTATGAGCAACATAGTTTGATAACATTTCCTTGGGCTCCACAAAAGTTATTTGCCAAGAAGGTGGGAAGACAGATATAGATTAATCTATCCAACATGGCAATATAATGACTGCCTTAGGCCCTTGACAACTAAGCTGTCTATTTCAGTTGACAGTCGTGTTTCCAGCATGTTAAGCAGGGAGTATGCTCTTGTGTTAAGATCTAGGAAATCCCTCAATTTGTCAAAATATTCCTTTTCACCTGACTGGTCAATACATCTTCCCTCTCACAAGCTGCTACAAGTGATCGGAATCTATATGCCAAATCAAACCATTGTGGGTGGCCCTGTAGTACTGTGGTGGAGTTTTCGACATGATCCATGGCAATCAATACATGTATTGATCTGCCTGGTTTTCTATAGTGCTGGTCCACAGCTTTCTACCGTGTTGTTCCATATGACCCCAATAGACTGATATCATGACACCTTTATCAAACAGAAGTAAATGTTTTCCTTTGTCCTGTTTTGGTTGGATTCACGGAGTGATAATAACGAGAGCTTTATGATCTTTGTACAAAGTATGTGCAGCATGTATGCAGCATGTATACAGCACACTGTTCTATAGTGTTTAGTTAGTCCAACAAATATGTATTTGTTGTGGGATCCTTTTGGAGTTTGCAGCAGGTCATTGCGTCTAGGCTGTGAATTGAGCATGGCAGCCAGTGTAATTGACTTTCACTGTGAAGGACAACTAGACACATTGTAGGCTACACAAGATGTTGTAGATGCCAAATCCTTTTGATGTCAAATCTAAAGCTTAAAGAGTTTTGGGACATACCTCACAAAACTTCTTAAACTTAATTGTAAAATGATGATATGATCACCTCTAATAGTGATGCTGTTCATTTTCAGAGTATGACAATAAGAGCTGCTATTTTTTGTCTAAAAGGGTAAATCCCCAGCAATGTTGATTTTGTCTGATGGAGAACTTGCAGACCTGTTAACCCCCAACCACCAAATAAGGAATTAATATTTCATCTGACATGAAGAATTTGAACTGCTCCCTACCCATGCTAAGAGAGTTTAAGTCGCTGTCCTCTGCGTAATGCTACAGTATTGATTAAGGACTTTCACATGGCTCAAGTGCTACCTTCTATGCAAGTGGTTGCTGTGTGAATAAGGTCGAGTCACCCAGGGAAGTATGAACGGCTGGTGCTCTGTGTCATGCCAGATATCTGCACTTACTACAGTTACCAGGCATGTTTGGGTTTGACAGTGTCTGATATGGGTCTGATAAATACAAAAAATTCATTGTTGACATACTCATGATATTGCCTGTGAAAAGGCAGGGTGATTGTGTGAACCAAAGGTAGTTTTCAGCTTTGCCCTGACTTGCATAATAAGGCCTTGACATGCAATGAATTTACAATGAATAGTTAAATCAGTACCTTTCTCACATTTGAAGTTGAAGTATGTGAAGGTCGGAAATTACTGCCACATACAATAACATGTATTGAATTAGATAAGTTACTGGCGAATTGTTTTCAATTTTGCATCATAAAACATTGCACACTTGACATAGCCTACAATATTCAATAAAAGGTACAGTGTTGGGTTTCAGTGTTTTTCACGCTTTGTATTTAATTTGATATGGGAACAGTAATAAATGGTGATTATTACCCTGCCCTGTGCAGGTTTTAAGTGGTAATCAAAAAGGAAAAATATAGGGTTGTCGACTACACTTTACCAGTCATAGTAGGTTTTCTCTCCTTTGAACTTAATGCAATGTAAAACCTACCCAGAACCAGTGTGAAGTATGTCACTCCTTCAAAGGTAAAGTGTACTATTATTCTATAGCAGACCTAGATGGCTTAAATACTGTCATGCTGAATATTGATAGTGATATATTATTCACATCAGGGGATGTGAACACAATAACTGACGAACTTACATCTCGAATTATAAAAGTTTGTGATAAACATATTCCTAATAAAATTGTTACCATACGATCAAAGGATCAACAGTGGATCAATAATGTAATACCTTCCTTAATAAGAAAACGAAATCGCCAACAAAGAAAGCTAAAAGACGTAATACTCAAGCTGATTGGGCAAATTTTAGGCTGTTAAGAAATAAGGTAATTAACTACATGTATGTCCATAAGGCGACGAAGGCACTTGCATCTAAAATTGATACTGTAATAAATAGTTCTCATGGAACTTGACTTGGTGGCGTTTAGTAAAGGAATTTCTTAAACTTAAAACTGCAAAACACAACTTTCCCCCAATTCTTTTTGGGAATAGGTTGTATGATAATTCCATGGATATTGCTAATATTCTCAATAACTTCTTTGTGGACCAATCTCGCATATGTAATCCTGATATGCACCTTCCAACCGAAGAATTAGATAAAGTAAAAAATCCATTAGTAAATATAATTTTGATGGAAGATGAAGTTAGGGATATACTTTTGTCCGTGGACACCACAAAGGCAACTGGCCCTGATGATATTGGAAATAAAGTACTTAAAAACACAGCTTACAGTTTAGCCCCAATCCTAAACTATTCAATTTCTCTCTTAAACGAGCAATATTTCCATCACTTTGGAAAGAAGCTCTTATCATTTCTATTCATAAGAAGAACAGCGTGAATGAATGTACAAATTACAGACCGGTTGCGCTCACAAGTTGTTTAGCAAAGATATTTGGAAAATGTATATTTAAACATGTGTAAAACTATTTAAGGAATAATAATGTGCTCACTAACCTACAATCTGGATTCACGCAGGGAAACTCCACCTCAAATCAGTTGACATATTTATATCACTTTATTGCAAAGGCCTTAGATGAAGGTAAGGAAGTTAGAGCTGTATTTTGTGACGTAAGTAAAGCTTTTGATAAAGTTTGGCACAAAGAAATAATTTATAAGCTACACAATTATGGTATTTGTGGAAATTTATTGAGATGGTTTGATAGTTACTTAGAAAATTGATATCAAAAAGTAGTTATAAATGGCTATAGCTCAGATCCAAAAGCTGTCTTGGCAGGTGTGCCACAGGGCTCGGTCCTAGGACCATTTTTGTTTATTATCTATATCAATGACAATGTTGAAGGAATACATAGTAATATAAGACTTTTAGCTGATGACACATCTTTGTATGTGATCATAGAAGGTCCTGATATAGCTGCTCCTGATCTCAATAATGACTTGGACAGAATTTCAGAATGGGCTGCCAGATGGCAAGTTAAATTTAGTCCCGAAAAAACTGAATCTATTCAATTTACCCGTAAAGTAAACCCTAGTCGCAAACCTAACTTATATATATGAATGGTACAGAAATCAACGATGTACAAAGTCATATGCACTTAGGTATGACTTTACAAAGTAATTGTACATTGAAAATGCACATTGATGATATTGTAAGGAAATGTTGTCCTCTGGTTAACGGTTTAAGGAGTTATAAATATCGTCTATCCCGAACTACCTTAGAAACTATGCACAAATCATTTATTTTACCAATTTTTGATTATTGTTGTCATATTTGGGACAACTGTACTAATGAACAAGCTACCGGTAACTTATTGGAAAATTACACTTAGATGCTCTTAGAACCATATGTGGCGCTGTCCGGGGTACGAGTCATCAGAAGATTTACAATGAAACAAATTGTAAGTCATTAAAAGACAAACGATACAATTTAAAACTGGTAATGTTTTACAAAATGAATAACTATTTATCCCCGGAATATCTTTGTAGGCTTATTCCTAATACAGTTTCAGAAAACACAAATTATGACTTAAGGGATAAAACTAATCTTCAAACAGTGAAGTGTAAAACAAAAGCCTATGCAGATTCATTTATACCAGCTACAACACAACTTTGGAATATGTTACCAGAAAATCTAACGGGGGCAGAGACCGTTACACAATTTAAGAATTTGCTTCACGTAAAGGGAGATAATGGTATACACTGGGATTTAAATTATGGAAGCAGATTACCGGTATGCCAAATCATTCACAGTCACCTCAGGCTTGGCTGCAGCGATCTTAACGCAGATCAGTATAATAGATATATCTTTGATACAAAAACTTGTTCCTGTGGATATCATACCGAAGATGCTCTACACTTCTTTTTTGTGTGTACAAATTACTATGCTCTTCGAAATGAAATGTATTTTTACCAACATGGTTATTCTTTACAAACAGTGCTATGCGGAAATTCGGATTTGAGTAAGGAAGAGCAAATGCTAATATTAGATTCTATTCAACACTTTATATTAAAAACTGGCAGATTTTCAGTTAAATGATTGTTTAAAATAAACTGCAAATAGATTTATTATATAAACACATCTAGCTTGGCATGTACAATTTATTTGTTACATGTAACCTTCATTGATGTATTTATTGCAATATGTCCTATGTGTAATGGAGCGGTATTACATAAGTGCTTCGCTTGTTTACCAATCCATTTTCACGCTTTTGTGAAAATAAATATGTTTAAACCAAATGTATTGGAAGTCTGAAATGTTCGCTACAATAGTGGCAGTGTTAGTTACAAGATTATTCCCTCTTTCAAGTGTGCATACCATCTTTCTAGAAAGTAGTACAATATACTTGATATCATACATACTTCTATTGTATTTGTGAGTGAGTGAAGAAATGTTTATTAGCCATAGTCAGAAAGTTTAGTTATATCACAGGGGATTGTGAATAATATCTGGACCAAATACAAGCTGTATAATGAATCTGTCATCAAAGTGTGGCTTGAAATTGTTACTTTGTGTGAAACATGTCTTGTATTTTTAAAAAAACTTCTTTTCAGCAACCTATTGCCAAGCATGTGTTCTCCCACCATGATAACCGTCACTCCTTCCTCAACAATGCTCTCTACTTCGAAGAGGTAAGGATAAATCGAAGTGCATGTGCAAATAAATGACTAAATATTACATTGAAGTTCAGTCCAAGCAAACCATATTTCCTCAATTAAACGCTGGATAAAACGCTGGGCCTCGATTAAATACTGGCTAATTTTTATGTGTGGAATTTTCCCCATTATTATTGTGGTGTGTGGTGTGGTGCGGTGCGGTGCGGTGCGGTGGAGAGTGTCTGGAAGAAATATACGCACAGGCGTTTAACCTGGGGAAATATGGTAACCTAACTTTATCATATGTACTATCTTCCAAATTACACCAGCTTCTTACAAAGGTAGCTATCAAGGCTCTCTATTGTCCAGTCTGCTAGAGGCTAAATGTACTCCAGTACTATATGAGATTGCTTTTAAGCATTTTCAAACAGTTCATTGGAATTGAACACCATGCAATATGAACATCGTTCATTACCACAATTTTGTAAAGAATTGTACATTGGCATGTGAATTGTAGATGAAAAAGAGAGAGATGGACCTAAAGTTAATAATTTCTTGTCAGAAGTGTTATCATCACCACAATATTAAATATATGGGTACGTTTGCTTTTAAGTCATATATGAGGTGCTTCTTGAAACAGGACAGTTTTAGGAGATAAAAAGGTTTGTCTATACTTTAGCTGAATTTATAACAGTTGTTAACATGTGAAATGTCTTTTTATATAATGACTTTCTTTGTGAATATAAGGGGACTATGATCTTTGGTATGTAATAACTTTAGCCATAGTATGCTTGTAGTAATTTGCAGATATTTTCATTTTTTATAAAAAATCTTTTCTTTAAAAAATCTTTATTTGGAAATATGTATATTTTTAAGAGTATACAGATATCTTTTGAAGTGTACAAAATGTCTGTGTTCTATAACTGTCTGTCCACAATCAGCCTAATGTAAACATGGTAAGTGGAAGTTATAAGTAAGATGTGTCGCCCCTGACAGTGCATAGGGTATGTTGTGGTAATTACATTCTCATCTGTCATGCTGTCACCTGGTCTAATCCAACATCGACCGACCTCCATATATAGGAGTGGTCTCAAAAGTATTTTTAATCCGGGGCCCACATTAACAGACCATTCAGCCTAGATTGGTGGGCTCTAACTCCCTATATTTTAACATAGACTTAAGTTTGATTCTCAGCTTTTTTAGATAATACACTGACAGTTTCGAAAGTGTTCAAATGAGGGTGTGTGTGTGGTGGGCAGGACATGTGTTGCCAAGTGTTCTTAGGTCCTTAGTCATGCCAGAATCCTAGGATCATAGGTTCAAAACCCTGATTTGCAATTGTAATTATGATCCTTGGATTGTCAGCACCATATCCATGCTCCCTGTTCTTCTGATTGAGCTGAAACACCTTGACTGACTGAAATACTCTTCAAAGTTGAGTAAACCCAGAATCACTTACTGAATTATGGTGTTATTTGGGAATATATCAGAATAGTTGGTTTTATCATTTTCATTTTCGCTTTATTTGTAGATGAATAAGCTTTGTAGTACAAGAATTATTTAAAAAATACACACAGTAAATATTTTTAGCTAAGTATTATGGCCCAAATGTTAAAGTACTAAAGGATTTTGTATGTGAAAGTACAGAATGAAAGCTGATAGGAATCAGAAAAGAGGAAATTATAGGAGGATTATCGTTCAGGTTGTTAGAGAAAGTCCCACTCTCCAGTTTGCTATTACATGTTTGGTCATGTGTTGACCCACACAATGCTGGCAGTATCAGCAGGTGTAGAGCGAAATCAAGCATTACTTATCTGGCACATCTGATAATGTCCTGTACAGATCTACTCATGTGCAGCTGAGTGGCACCAAGTCGATAAGCTCTTTAAGAATTAAATACCAGCAAAGTAACCTAATCTCCTTGTATTGTTTATATGTCATTGTAAGGAGCCTGTGTTGGGTTGTAGAGTAATAGCTGTTGGAATAGTCTGGCTTGATGTTAAGCTTGAATGTCTTTGTTATTAGTGGATAAACTACAATAGTGCATACTTTACACAAATTAAATTGCGCTTTGGATTTATATTTATGTTACAGCTACAACAAAGTAGACACAAGGCGTTATACAGTCAAACTTAGAGTTATAGTTACTAGAGATATTACAATTGATCCAATCTCATTAAAATCAGATCTTGTGCTCGCTCCCCTACATAAAGACCTGAGGTATTCCCTTTACAGGTCACATCATAACACCTTTTGTGAACTTAAACTGACCAATGAAACAACTAACAGGAAGTCAACACTAGCCAATAAGAAAACACCTTCTTGGGCTTATGGCACTAGTTTCAAACTGGCAACTTTCATTCCAGATTGCACTTTGATTGCACTCGATTCAAAATTTGAAAACTGAACAAAAGAAAATTCTTGGATGTCTAATAGATAGCTGAGATTGTATGGTAGTTCTTCCCATGCACCTATGGAAAATGTCTTCCGTTTCAAATATTTATCCCATTGAAGTGAGAGATAGACTATGACAGCCATAAATGTTCTTCGGAATACCCAGTGTTAAACTTTTTGAGATTGTATGATAAGAAAACACATTGGAACGTTCTTGATTTGATAAGTGACACTCTGATTGGTCGGATGAAAGGTCATTCTGACAAGACCCATAATGGGAAGTCCTCTGAACAAAGATATGATTTGAATGAGATTGCAATTTGTCTTATCCGTTTTTGCCATGTTTACCTTTTCAGTTGAATAATTGTTACATGTGTGTTATTTCAACCTTTCATCCTACAATTGTTATGTCATCCTGCATGTGTTATTACATCCTACATGTGTTATTCACCTTTCATTCTAAATGTGTAATTTCATCCTCCACCAGACCTGTCAACCCCTCATCATGACAATGAGGGAGATTTTTCTGCAAAGGGGGGGGAATTTATTTTTAAAATAGTGAAATTAATTTAATTAAAATATATAGTATTTTCTGTCTGTGATAGTCTGTTGATAGTCCGATTACAACACTTCATAAATTTCCTGGAAATGTTCATGTTATTCCATTCCTGAGAAATGTATGCTGTATTTGTAAGTATTGTTACCTTTTTCTACAGTTTATGAATGAGGTGAGCCTCGTTGCCGTTGTTAACCTTTCTGACGTTGACATGTATTAAGCTCATTGGTCGATTAGTACTGTTGTATCCACATTAGATTGCTGAACATCATCTTCCTGAGGCAAGAGAGTTAACTGACTTTAAAAGTCCAGTTTCCACCCTTGCCGAACTAGGTTGGTATTATGGAGTTACATTTTGGCTGAACTAACAAGTCTATGCATAGTCCAATCAAAACCGCGCACCGAAATCGAAATCCGGTTCGTAAACTGTCGTGCAGATTTCGGTCGATTGTAGGATTTGCAAAGCATGTGCACCGCCAACTCGTTGTCAGCAGATATGAAATTTGATACAGTTCTTTGTGTTGATATTTCCGTCAAGTTGTCAGTCAAAAGGAAGTATATGAGTTTTACTTAAACATTGACTTTGAAACCCTAGCTCTGAGGAACCCTGATCGTGTAAGTCATTGTTATTTCGACAAACGAATCAACCAATCACACAAAGTGTTGTTTTTGGAGATGGATTTTGTTGGTCATATCTGGTTTTCATACCGAGAGTTTAATGGCATAACCTCGAGGAATAGTGATGTTTCAACAAAGTTTCAGAATATCTGATAACCAATAAAATCACTTATAACTGGGCAGAGGAATAAACACGCTAAGAACATGAAGAGAACAGTTCATTTCAGGAAGTGATAAGTACTCAGCTGATTATTCAGTTTAAGTTCCACCCTTCAGGCACCTGTGAGGATTGTTCAAGTTTTCTTTACAGTTTACATTGTTAAATCGTTCACCACATGAATTTTATTACCAGTTGATTGCTAGACATAGGTCAAACGATGGGTGACCGTGATAAGAGTCGCTAATCCGGAGCCTCCCGCACAGATCAAGAGGTATCTCATACATGTATGCATACAGATTTAATCAGAAAACTTACTGGTAGATATCTGTAATCGTAAACTTCATGTTCTTTGTTTATACTCAAGGGACAAGGAATGTGATTTTTTAAGATAATGAAAAATGCTGTTTTGCAGAATGTCCCACATGTCCCGCCTCATCCTACATGTTATGCCACCTTTCAACCTACATGTTCTTCAGTCTCTTATCCTATGTGTGTAATTTCATCCTACATGTTATTCCACCTTTCAACCTACATGTTCTTCAGTCTCTTATCCTATGTGTGTAATTTCATCCTACATGTTATTCCACCTTTCAACCTACATGTTCTTCAGTCTCTTATCCTATGTGTGTAATTTCATCCTACATGTGTTATTTGTACTTTCTTCCTAAATCTGCAAGTGTTATTCCACCTTTCATCCTACATATGTTATTTCATCCTACATGTGTGTTATTTCACCTCCTTTCATCCTACATGTGTTTTATTTCACTTTTCATCCTACATGTGTTTTATTTCACTTTTCATCTTACATGTGTGTTATACTTTCAAGGGTCTTGGAAGGAAGCGTGTCACAAACAGTACCTACAACTTCAAACCAGAGTTTATATCATGGATGCCTGAACGAGAATATGTAGCTAGGATGCGGCCATTAACTTCAACATACAAGACAGACTTTATGCCGGAAAGACAAAGTCATCAGTTGATAGTTAAAAGACCTCAGACCTCTTTTGATGGCGTTGCTACAACAACTTATAGATATGCCCATGGAAAAGAGTCACCAAATAGGGACTGCATAAATGCTATGAACAATCAAGCATTAATGTTGTCAACACATTCAAAGCGTCTGAGGTCAAAGTCTGCTCGGCCACAAGTCCGAGAAACTGTAGCTTCATGTTTAAGTTGGTATGTGCCTCGCCCACCTAATAAACCTCAGGTTCCTATGGCAACTGAAGTGATGGATTGCAAAGAACCCAGGGCAGCAGAGGAGAGTACACAGGGGTTGTCTCCCCCTGAACAAACATCCCCAGAGATGGCGCCTCAATCACTGCCTGCATCATCCCCGGTGCAAGACCCAGCCATGTCAGAATAAGGCTGCATCGATGATAGTTTGTCACTATCTTAAGAGCTTGTGGTCAGAGATCTTCAAATATTACATTGACCAATATCGTCATGTTGAAAAAAGGTCCCCAAATTTCTTTCTGGCACCTATTTGGGTGGAACAAAATCAGCTGATCATATCAAAGACGTAACAGACATGTAAAACCTAGGAAGTGGTTATCAAGCCTTGTTATGCTGAATCTTATGGCAGTAAAATGTGAGGATATTCCTAGTGATAGCTGAGTGGTGATTAATGTTCCAGATACATGTAGCCTGGTATAACCTGGGTAAATACACGCATATTCTTGTTATTAGGCCAGATTAATTTATTTAATATACAATGTTTCTCGGTCACTATGCCTAGATGCAGGAGTGAAGACAAAGATTACAGATTTTGCTTGGTCTTAATTGAGGTAAATTAGAAAAAAAAAGCTTAATGGAAAGTTATAATCCTAGGATTTGATGTTCTACTATAGTCAGCTGGTTGTTCTAGTTTCCTTGATAACACTGTCTATATATTTCGTCTTTACAACTTCAAAGATGTACAAGTCGTAAGAACAAAATTGATTTGGCCTTACTCTTATGTACTGGTATATATGGTGTAATCCTTGTATATATTGTAAATGAATCCTTATGGTTGTAATGTTTACCCGGACTGCATGTTTTTAAGTCCATTGCACATTAGAGCTGTTAGAGGTTCAAATTAACAAGACACTCTGGACCCCTATTGTAGGTGATATTCTGGATGCACAGTGTGACATATTGAATGCATATGACACACATAATGGCAATATTGGTTTTGTCATTTCAATTTTGAAAGTGTTCTTGATGCATAATTTTTAAGTTGAAAAAGATAATCATGTCTTAGGTTCAAGTGTTGCTCTGTTATTCCATTTGTGAGTAGTTTCATTACACTAAAATGGATAAAATGTTACAGACAAAATCCATGATTTAGCCCAGGGCTTAAACACGTGCAGTCCCGGTGCAATGAATGATTGTATAATTACATGATAAAGATAGTAGTCACATTTTATACTTTGTGACAGTGCCTGTGATAACTGTACATTTATGGCTATATACTACTTACCTGCTCTATAACAATATATTATGCATTGTATCATGTACTACAGCATTGATTGCATGTTATCAAAAGATAAATCAAATATGAAGCTGTGAAAACTGCTCCTGCACTATCCCATGAAGCCTTAACATCTTTTACCTCAAATGTTTTAATGAAATATTTGTTTCACCTTCAGCACCACAAGTCAGCATTATTGTACTTTTACATTAACATGATTAAGAAATGAGAGAGTTTGCTCAGCGAACGAGTCACGCCCCACAAAGTATCTCTAGCTCCATCAGCAAGTCATGCGATAATTAACTAGGTGTGTACATGTTGGAGGTCAGGTAGTTATGGTGTTATTGTATTGTGTCACCTGTTCATTTTGATTTTTAGAAATACTGCTCGCTGGACAAAGACCATTTTCAAGTGAAGAAGTGGTTCAACTTCCTTAAACATGATAAACTAGAGGTTTTATTTGTTCAAGGTCACATAACATTTTCTTTTTGTGCTGTGATTTCTTGATATGGCTGGACAATTTCTTTGAATGATTTCATATTCTTGAAGTAAAACATGCAAAAAACGTCCATTTAGAACAGGTCACAACACAGCTCATTCTGGAAAATGCTGTGGTCATGCTACAAGATAAAGTGTGAAAATGATTGTCAAAGCTGGAGGTAGTTTATGAGAATAAGTGTGGTGTATATTTACTGTCAGTAGTGTAGATGTCTTTTACATGTATGTTCTCTATCAAAGCACAACTGTGATGTTCCTTGTTCAGAGGAACACTTTACATAATCTGATTAATATTTAGTGTTTGATGGAAATACATACCTTAGATTATTATTAATAGTCAATAAGAATCAATATCTTTAACGTGTTTAAAGAAATTATTAAAATATGCACTGATTTCTGATAGAAATCACATAACATGTTATATCTTAGGGTGAACAAGCCTTTGTAGTGTCTTATCTCTCACACCAAAGAAAACTCCATACAATGTACTTATACCATGTACTGCTTTACATCATCAGTGTTCCCGTTTACCGGTAATTACCAGTTTTTTACTGGTAAAATTAGGTTTGGACCGGTAATTCAAGTGACTGCCAGTCCCTGTGGACCAGCAAATAAAGTACTTTTAAATCTTTGTTGTTGAACAAAACATCGGTGATATTCATAAAAGTACATTTTTCGAACAAAGTCAGCTTGTCTATTAACCATCAGGGTTTAACCTTGTCTATTTCTAGGTTAAATATCCAGTTGTAGCGACTTCGTCTTGAAATATTAAAAAATAAAGAAAAAATTGTGACTGAAGTTTGTGTGAATGACATATAGATCTAACTAAGTTACTTCAGAGATGACATCTTTGCACTGAACATGAAGTTGAAAGAATTAAAACCAAATAATTTTCATACGTTTTTTTATTTGTTGAAAGTTGGGACTGGTAATTTTTAGAGTTGCAAGTCCACAAGGACTGGCAGTTTCAAAAGCCAGCGGGAACACTGATCATGTTCATCAAAGGCCTTTTAACATCAGATATTATTTTAACTTTTACAAAGATTTATCTTGTGCCTCTGTCCTCATGTTTATCAACTTAGGCTACTCCAACAAACTGACATAAGATGATGTCATAGGTGGTATAACAAGCGTTTACAGTTATGCACTTGTGGCGACCCTGTACTGGGCTGAAATGTCCATATAATAATGCAATGTTCTATTTTGTGTCTCATCAAACACATTGCATTAATTTTGCAATACTGTTTTTCAACAGCTAATACAGTTTCTCCGTTCGGGAACATAGCACCAATTAATGCTTAAGATTTTTTTCCACAAGAACTTTTGTTAAATCTAGTACTTAGAGCTATTTAAGTGTTGAGCCATTATGCAGTGCACCCCAGCTGCTACAATGCAGGTGTAGGCAGTTGCTTCCTGGCTTAGTCAACTCACTGGAAGCAGCTGGGAGGACTGCTATTTTTGACAAGGGAAAGTGACATTGAGATCACACAGTTATCATAATTTACTGAGATTGGTGTTCTTAAAAAACAAACTGAACTTATGTTGGTTGTTCTGATTTAGAGAACTTGTGTGAAGTAAAACACATGAAGTGTATTCAAAGTTCATGCATGTTTTCATGTTTTGTATTTGTCCTGGGGACATTATAAGTAGTAGCAGTATCACTTTGGGTATATGTGTTTTTTATGGGCCAGCATTAGGTTTTATGCCACGAGCCCCCTTGTTAAACTCATTCACTCAATTGTTCATTTTTCACATTCATCGAACAGAGTTATTCTCACCAGATCAATTTCATTCAGAAAATAATGTAACTATCTGGAGAATAGCGTCTTATATAATTAATTTGAGATACAAAATGCAGTTGGTATGTCGCAAATGTTATGCCAGCTGTACAACTGCCTGTAGAATCCTACATTCCTGTGTACGGTGAGATATCTGGTCAATTGCATGTCACAGTGATGTCAGCAGTCCTGTTCAAGCTGCTGTAGGAAACATATTCAGTTCTTAAAATGTTGTTAATCTTGACTATCATAAACATGATAAAACATAGTATTTTATAGTTAGTTTTATAATACAGCTGAGGGTATTTCTACAACATGCGTCTGTCTGTATGGATCAGTAAAGCCGCCTGATGACACTACCCATATCTTGTGTTTTATATTTGTACAGATGGTGCATTTTCTTGACTCAGCACATAAACTGTGAAGCACTGGTAGTAGGAGATCTGCCAAGATAAACAATAGATAACTACCAACAAGCCAGACTGATACATAATGTATTTGCCTGTAGCTGTGCAGGTCAAATCAGGAGTTAACGCCCCTGAAACAAGTATGCTTGTGATTGTTGACAATGTCTTCAGTTTATCAATTATGAAGAAACTTTTCATGGCACAGCCAAAGAACATGATGGACAAGAAAATGGTTAATATTTTATTCCTTCTCATCTGTATGTACAATTCTATGTTAGTTTCATTTAGTGTATCAACAAAACTATCAGGTTGGAGGCATCAGCACTGGAGACAATCAGACTCCTCCAAACCTAGAGGCCTCCAACACCAGCCACCAGAGTATTCAATACTTGATTAACACAGCACAGTTACATGTCACATTCACAGTCATTCATAAGCAGATACTAAATCCTGTCCCTGTCTTTTGGGGTTCGAACTTTCCTGTACTTCTTCTGTGGCCTGTAAAGATAAGGAGGCACCATACATGAACTGAACACAGCCACACTATCTCCATTTGATACACAACTCCCCTACATCTGCCCAGTGACAACTGAGTTACACATAGATGCACAAGAACACTTTGGGGAAATCATCAAAGAAGCTCAGTTGATAGATACACTTTTAGAGATATACAAAATGGCACGATGACAATAATTCCTTGTGAGTCTCTTGCTGACGGTACAAGACCCATCCTGGGGTAGGTCATGTACCAGCCAAGCTGGACACTAAGATCTGTCAATATTCAGTAAAACATGAAACTACATCATTTTAATTGTTAAGAGATCAACACCAAGAGAGAATCAGTTCATTCCCATTTGGCTTACAGTATGTCCCAACCAAATGGTGTGACTAGCAGGATATTTGACTTGGTGAAAGTGACACGTTTGTCGTGTTCCTTTCTCTGAATACATAGAATGCTTATATTAAAAGTAGGAAAGCTCACTGTGGATACCACCGATGTTTGGATGTGAAGAATATGTTTGCTAGCTCTTTGTCTGTTGGCCCATCCTCTCGATGTTTCAGTTTCTCTGACATGAGATACTGCACCTTCAGCACTGACTCCCCCTGCACATGGGCAACAACTTTAACATAAACAGCTCAAGAACTTCAGACAGACAGACACACCAGGATGTTAAAATGACTTGAAAAAGAAAAGCATTCAAATCGGTTAGATCAGGGGTACGTTATTGACCTTCCTTTCAACATTGAACTTCAGTTATCAAGTGACATTTTCTGTGATTCTAAAATGCTAAAAAAACCTGAACATTATACATATGTGATCATGCCAGGAATGAAATCTTACCTGTATGATTATCATGATAACCTACCTCTGCTAATTCTTCAATTTTCCTTGGAATAGGCTGGAAAAGAAAGATTGAAATAGATAAATAAATAATTATGGTAACACTGAACCCAGGTGCACCCAAACTGTGTGCTGTATTAGTTTGTGTTAGCTCTACCAGAGATATGCGTCATTGTGTATCATCTTGTTATTGTATACTTGATGATGAAGTACGCCAGTAAAACACTGTGATTGACAGTTGTTACACAACAAGAAATATGGACAACTAGAAAGGTTTTGCATAACATGCAAAATCAGAGCAGGCCCATCCTGAACTTTTCTTGAATGCCCCCGAACAGAAACTTGTGTCTCAAACCACTTTAACTTTACCAAATAAGTTGACAGCTGACCTCACCAATATCTAATGATAGACAACCTCAAAACAGAAAGTCTCATGCCTCTTGCCTACATAATAAAAAAGTTATATGTGCCCTTACAGTGTAATGACCTTGACCCTCAATTTCAGGTTATCACATGCTTGAATATTTCTAGTGAAGAACATGGGTTTGGTTCTTATGCAAACAACTTTGAAAGATCCAACAATTACCCAAGTCTCAGGACTGTACAAATGCTACAGCACCTGCAAGGGCTAGGACTGGTAATTTGGGTAGTAAATTTGGACATCTCCCAGCCCTAGTAACTTGCAATAAATGATACAACCATGTTTCCCAATAACCTCAAACGTGACCTTGACCCTTGACAGACATATCACCAATATTAGATGTAGAAGGAGTTGTAAAGATACATGAAAATACTACTCACTACTAACTGCAACTTCAACATTTTTCATGAAACATGAAAAAGAGCAATATTTTCTCAGAAAATCCACTTATCAAAATCAAACTTTACACTGCACCTCCCCAAAGTTTAAGTAAAAAATGAAAATAAAGGGCTGTATTTGTTCAGTAAATCCAAATATTGAAATCAAACTTCACACTGTACCTCTCCTATAGGTATATGAAGTGTTCACCAAGTTTGAAAATCCATTGGGTATTTTTCAAGTTATAGGTCATAAAAAACAAATGTCCTTGGAAGGACAGACAGAAAGACGGCTATGGACAGATGGAATTCCGTGGTTTAACAATATACCCCCGCCCTTTTAGGTCCGGGGTATAATATTATAAACCAGTTTGAAAGATAATTCTACCATGACAGTGAAAAAGCCTTCATTCTGACAGGTCAAAATAAGATTAAGATCAGGTATCTAATTCCATTCAATACCTCAAAACTAACATGCCACTTCACACAAAAACCTTTCATTTCAAAACATTGACCTATTGATAGCCTACACATTGATGCATACATTCAATATCATAACAACAGCTTATCAAACATTATGAAATTCATTTCATAACACAATGAGTAAAACACATGCTAACCACCATGTAAGGGCCACATAATCATCGGTCACAAAAATTATTAGTGTCTTCGACTCTTTAATGTTGTACAATGCTGACTCATCTTGAGCTAAAAATGTCTTTATGTTGCCATATATAAAGGAGTTTCCATTGTCCATTGCTTGGATCACCCATCAGCCAGCCTACATTTAAGGTTTGCTGCATGTGGTATTTGAATCACATGATCCTGATGATATGTCTTTAGTATTTAACACTTGAGTCAGGACCCCCTTGACTGACATGCTTTATTTCAATCACTGCGTATGGATGACATCACGTTGTACATGGAGCCACCACTTGAACCTTGTATATCAGCACCCTATTGTCCATAATGTCTAACCTTTGTGTGTTGGTACGGGAACTCCATGGCTGGGTGCCAGCACAGCAGAGTGCTGCCGTCTGGGGACATGCTCACTTTAGGCCTTCTACAAGACAAGTATGACTCAGCATCAGACAAGCAAATAACATGGAAAACACAGAATCTTGCAGCACACATCGTCTATGGTACTGAAGGTGACCATTGATCATGATGCCTTGAATCAAATTATACATACTCCTATTATCATACACAACTAGTTTCAGCTGTCTATATCCCCTGTGGTCCTAGAGAAACATTTTTTAAAAATTTGTTGGAGGTTTGAATGATTTGAACACAATATGTCATCATTAGGAGGATTATATGCTTTCCAAGCTTGTTCCTGGTAAAGTAACTTTGCATCTGTTTTGTCTTGTGTTCCCAGGTAGGTCTGATTGGAACATGGAGCACATCGCTTTCTTACACAGATGGCATCCCACTACATATAGTTCACCAGCTTATATGGGAAGACAAGCTTCAGTTTTTAACTTTCTTTTTATTGACTATTACTTTCTGTTCTCAAACAAGTGGGAAAGGCAATCAACAGACAATGTACTGTTAAAAGCACTGAACTGCAATATGTACAACAATGTACAAAAAGAAACAATATTTGCTCAGTTTCAGTATTATACAGCGCTGCTATTATTCAGCTGTACTGTAACATGAGTGAGTGAGTGGGTTTTTACAGTATTCCAATTACGTCATGGCATGTGATCTTAATGTGGGAGGATAGCCAGAAGTGATGCAGGTCTCAGACGTTTACCACTTCTGTGAAACCCACAAGCATGGGTATGGCGCTTACAAACCTAGAAACATAATTGGGGCGAACCAGGATTCGAACCCTAAATCATTGGTTACTGGCGTGCCCAAGGGACGCAACTCTGCACAGCAAATCGCGGCGCCTTAGTACTGCTACGTGAACAGACTGGTCAGTTTAATTTCAATTCCCTCTTTTTCTTTTGCAGATACCTCAAGGTTTCATAATATATTGTTTTCATTAATTTGATATGACATTAATTAACACCAATTTTTATATATACTCATGTATATATACAATGTAGTGCATGTCAATTTGTCTTGTACTACCATCAGTTGTCATACCCTTTTACAGTGTCACTAGTGATATACTTTATGTCTATTCATATCTGAATGTGTAATGCTTGCTATGTGTTGTACTGTCATGTGGTTGTTTTTATGGAAATACTTGGAAATTAACATGTAAAAAAACATAATTACCACATATAGGACTGAACAAGGAACAGTGCAACAGTAACTGGCAATGATTAAATAGAATGATACAACCATATTCTAAATGACCCCAAAGATGACCTTGATCATAGACAGACATAGCACCAACATTAGATGTAGGATTTGTAAAGATACATGCTAATATAAAGTATCAACTTTAATTATACATGCATTAATACTCTTTGAGAGGGTGAAACCACAAACCTGCTCCATGTGGAAAAAGTCCCTACCTGGATATCTTCTAATCTATCCCATTAAAATCAGATCTCTAACTCTTATACCTCTCCGTATAAAGATCTAAGGCCACCTCCATAGGAGTTTGTGTCAGATGAGCTTACTAACTGCTGGTACTAGTCTGTACTGATGCCAGTTTATAGTGCCAGCTCACTGAGGTACCAGGGAGTTCAACGACCAACCTTGCTTCTCCAGAGAGACACTCTATCCACTGGCAAAGATGTAGTTAGTTACCCAACAGGGTGTAAAATCAAAGGAATACTAGTATATGTGTACTGTGTGGATGTTCTTTTGTTAAAACCAATTATTTTTTTAATTGAAGTGGTAAAGAAATAAAACCAAAATCCATTTGGCAACTTGAATTTTTTTCCCAGGTATATTGCAGCAAAACATAAAATTTATGTGATCATAAACATGATGAATAGCTTTACAAGAAGTGACTCGTGAACATGATAGAGATCTGCATCAAAATGGTACCAGCAGACCGTCTCCGCTGATCGAGATTGTGCATGGAGTCTTTCAGGACGAAACCCTTGTTACTTCAATGTCAAACAAGGGTTAACTACTACAGTCAGGCCTTTGGATTTAAAAACAAAATCTGTTATAAACACTACTGGCTTAATGACATCACATACAGTTGAAGAATGCACATTTCTAATGAAAGCAACCTAAAAACAGAAAGTCCTATACCTCTAAAGACATTCAAATTGAAACCATAAACACTTCCAGTATATTGACATCACTTACATTTTGGAAAAAAGACATTCCCAATGCAGTACAACTTTGAAACAGAAAGTCCTATGCACCAACCTATCTTAATGACAAAATTATAAACATTTCCAGTTTAATAACATTACTTTCAGATGGGGAAATCTATGCCCAATGCAGCACAACCTAGAAACTAAAAGTCCCATGGCTGATGCCACCTAACAAAGTCATAAGTACTGTACGTTTTATGACATCATGTCCAGGTTGGGAAAATACTTGCACAAACTTTCAACAGAAAGTCTAATGCCTCTTACCATCTGAATAAGAAGGTTAAATACGCTCTTCAGGTTTACCTTGAACCTTAATTGCATCCAATCACATTCTTGATTATAGCTAGTTGAAAAAATGGCTGCTTGCCCTTACAAACATTTGGTACACTCTCAAAGGGTAGGTTCAATACACAAGTAAGCAATATTACATTATCAGGAATGTCTGTTTTATGAAAGTCTCAAAACCTTACCAATATCCCATCCTAAGGATGATATGTACCCACATATGACATTCTTTAGTGTAAGACCTTGAGAATGAATTTGACATCAACACATGACAATCATTTCCAAAATATTCCAAGGAGTTATCCATCACATAAACCAGATATATCCCTTGGTGGAAATCAGCAAAACAATGTAAAAATAGCACATGATACTCACTGGAAGTAGCTCACAGAGACATGCCACTGATATCATTCACTATAACATGTCATCACTTGTCAAACATAATTACATGTATTTAAATTATATACTCACCACCAAAAGAAACATGAAACAGAGAAAAGTATGTACATTAATATGAGATGTTTCCAATGTGTACCAATTAATGACAAAACTAACAATCAGTCAAACATTACTACAGTGTGACTTTATTCTTATCACAATATGCTGCACATGAATTCCAAACTTTACACACTAATCCTGCATGAGACAAATGGTGCATCTCGAGTCGTAGATCTATGACGTCACACGTGGCGCATTCATGAGCATCGGTTCACACAGCATACCAGGTTGTTCGTTAATGCATCAAACCAGCCTAATATCTCTTGTAAATGAGTCTTCATCTATTGACCAACATGTATGGTATTCGCGTTTCTTTTGGCGGTGAGTATATCACTAATGGTATACCTGCAGAAAAATGCATTTTAACGAAATGACAAACATGCTTTATGAATGACCTTCCCTGTGAACTAGACCTCACACTTAAATCACTCATTTCACGATCTGGGCCCTACCCTGACACTTCCTGAGGAAGACATGTGACATATTTTATGGACCCGCAGCAAATTCTTCTGAGTGTTTAACCTTGAATGTGAATTTTACTTTCAATATCACTGAGAAGTATTCATGAACATTCCAAAAGTATACCCAGCATATACACCAAATACAATGTTTTGTTCAATCTATGACCTTGAAAATGACCTTGACCCCTGACATGACATACAACTGTGCGAAAATGATCACCCTGGATTATAAAGGAGATATGCAATACATGATATTCACAATATTTTCAGATATCCCAAGGATTAGATATTTCAATTACAATCCAGAAAACAGACTTACCTGTCATCTTTGTTGTGAACACTGCCAGGTGGCGATGTGCTGGCAACCCTTCTATATGTCAATCCTGCTGGAAGGGCTAGAATGAGAAAGAAAATTCATAAGCCATGTATGTTTCACAATTATCATTTTCACAAATCCTTTGGACCTTTGTCAGTATGGCAAACCGAACATGAATTTCACAGCGAGAAAAGGCAAAATTTTCAACTTTCATCTGAACTCTCTGTCATTGTAAGTTCTGATTTGCAATTCTATCATGGCTTTTAAAAATTATGAAAATACTGCAATTTACTGGGCTCATCTTTTCAAATTCCAAACAGCAGGCTTAGATAAACGCCTGATTAGTGATCTTTTACCAAGTGATCAGAACCTGTTTTTCTTCAAATTACATTGCAATATTTGTCAAAAAGGAGAGATAGCTGACCCATACTCTAACACATGCTGAAGCAGTGAAGGGTAATACAGATATATACCCCAGGTACTTTTTGGTATACAGAAATATACCCTAGCCAAAATCAGAAACCAGAACAGTAACCCTGGGATGAGTACATTTCACAGTGCACTAAAATTGTTCATTGCATTCATCTAAATGGCTCTGTTTCTTCATTTTCTGAATTTTAACTGTCATACTCTTGTATGAGATGCCTGCCAGTTGCAGTATAAAAAGGAGCATACAGTATGAGATGCTGTACGGACTGTAATTGCGTGATGCACAACATGATCTCACAATCAGCAAGGCAAACTGAACTACAACATGAACTGGTTTCTGTGTGAGGAATATGGACTCATCTGCCATTTTAGGTACCAAGTACCTTCCTGTATTCTGATTTTGATGAGGGTACATTTCTGCATAACAAAAAGTACCTGGGATAAATATCTGTAGTACATGTGCTGACAAGATCGCTTCAGAGCAACTCACAACTAGCTAGTGGTGTAACAATTTACAGTGATATAGTATTGTGTCGCGATACAAGGCCATGATATAATACATCAACTTATGACCACATACGATACACAGATGATTTCATTACAAGTTATACTGGTGGAAAACCATGAATAATAACAGATACTGTTCAACCACCACCTTATGCAATTCTCTGTTATTTCATAGTTGGACATAAATAGCACATTAACAGTGCCCTCTACCAACATGACTAACATGTTTCTGTCCTACAATAACCCATGTTTGATCACTGAAATTTAATAACAAATTATTCAGGGTTGTGATTCACCTGCAAAAATAAAGAATATCAACTTGTGAAATAAAAGTACTGTATCAGGATATGAATCGTATCGCACCCATAGTTTTGGGATTTGTATCGTATAGCGACCCCACCGTATCATTACACCTCTACAACTAGCCTAACCCAAAGGATTGAAAGGGATGCCTTATCCTAAGGATTGTCAAGGAGTGTTTGATGGGAAAGGGGTACCTAACCCTTATGATCGTAATAGAGGTGCCTGATTGGAAAGGGGATCCATTGGCTAAGGAAACACGTACAGAATAAGGGACCCTAACCTCTGTACCAGTGGCACTTTTCCGGATATTAATTAGCGCCGCATGGATTATCGACCTCACATTGACAGACTGAAAGCTAAGCTAATGATCAAATAAAAAGGTTCATCGGTTTTATGACATCATACGTTTTCGGAGGGCCATGTTTATCGTGATTACTTGCGCTTTTACTGGGGGTGTTGCATCACATTGACAATGTAAATATTCAGATGATGATATGTTCAAGAGAAAGTTGTCTTTATATAGTGAATGAAATGTTTTACAGTTGTTCACAGATTAGAGAGAAAACAACGAATGTTTCTTCGCGTCCGAAAACCCATAATATATAAACTGTATTGTTGCAGTAACCACAGGACCATGTAACTAATAATAGTAACAAACTGGCAGACGAGGCCTCTTCTACGATATTTTAGCGATTTTTTTTATTGATTGTTATTAATATTAGTTACATGGTCCTGTGCAGTAACCTACCCTACACCAAACATAACTATAGATCTAAACCTTAGGATCGAAAAAGCACTCGACATCTATTAGTGCTATAATCTGAAACCATTAAACTGCAGGGTTCTTGCCAGATTGGCCGATGGGCATTTATGTAAATTTTGACTGACTTTGTTTACCATTAGTGCATTTGCGAACAAACATCTGACAAAACACACTTCTCATGGGCGCCGCCATCTTTATTTGAAATCGAGGCTTCTACGAAAAGATCCTTGCAGTGTTAATAGGCATTACTGCCAATGAACTTCTACATTGAAAGGGACTAACAGTGTCATGAGTACAGAGACCGTTCAGGGTTCGAAGATGGTTTCGAGAAAGGTAGAACGGGGTGTTAATGACTGAATATATTCTCAAGACATCTGATCCCATGACAGTTATTTGTAGCTGATATCAAAACTTTCACTGTTCATTGTCTGTCACTATCTCTGACTCTGCAAGATAAACCTACGTTCGTTATGAAAAAAACCAAATCACTTTGAAAAGTTCTTTGTAATTTTGTATCATCAGCTGACCATGCATTAGGACAATTTAGAGCTGGGACGAGTCCAAATTTACCATCCGGGTACCCGACCCAATTTCTACGGTACCCCACTGCAAGTCTCAAGAGTTGGGAACAAGATGTCTGGTTCTGAATTGTTTCACACGTATCAAACGATCAGATCATGCGTACAGTGAAGTTGACTGGCTTCGGCTCTATCGTTACTCAAACATATAGTTACAAGTTAAAGGAATGTGTGCATTGTCAGAAAAAAATGCGAACATTAGCGACGGCCTACCTTTAGAATACAGTACCACAAACTTTTCAAACACGTGACAATAGCCTATGACGTAATTTGTAGTATTTTGTTGCCAGTCACACCAGCGAAACAATGCCCTGTGACGTCAGGGGTCATCGAGTGTGCATAAGCTCCTCCCAGTGATCTATCATCTCTACACGAAATGTCATTTAATACGCCAAGCGCTGTGGAGAGTTTTGAATATTTGTTTACTGAATATAGCCTGCGGCGGCACATTTTATAGCAAGCGCCAGTTTACGAAAGCACTGTTATTTTTTATATATTTTTTATTTCGTTTTTCTCGTAATTCAAGTGGCTAAAAGGGTTATAAATGGGAACTAATATACATATATTATTTTTTCGGTGCATTAATTTTCATTATTATGCACAAGAATGTAGTTTATTAGGGATATTATAGTGATGCTGAACACATCCAAATATCGCTAGTGTTAGGGTAGATTACCCCGAACTCTATCCTTAGCCCTTGGATCCCCTTTACGATCAATCACCCCTTTTTGATCATTAGGGTTAGGTACCCGTTTAGTGGTTATTAGATTACCCCAAAATCCCCGAATTCTGTCCTTAGCCCTTGGATCCCCTTTACGATCAATCATCCCTTCACGATCATTAGGGTTCGGTAAATCTACCTGTTTAGTTTCTCCTAAACGTAATTCTTCACACAAAAACATCGAGTAAAAAGAATTACATGGTTTTGTGTCGAATACTTTGGCTACTGGAAACTGTCCTGGAACATTCACACAAGCCGCTTTCACCGGCTACATTTTTTCAGTACTGATTCAAAAGCGAACTCACCGTTGTGTCGTCACTAGCCATGCACATGCCTCCCTCATTCCTTACTATTATCCACATCATCCTTACCGTGTTCCCTACCACACTTTTCTGTCACAAAATCCACCCGACAAATTATTAGATAAATCGTCATTCATGCGTAGTCGCGAGTTCAACGTCTGACGTCTGACGTCTGATGCCTTGAGCCGTTTTCAGTTCAGCCACTCGGTATCTTGTAGATTACGGAATGGGACGAGTGTGCCAAATGGCATCGGGATCATTTGTAAGTGTCGACTTAAGTCACGAGACACCATGCCTACCCGTAACCTTCGTAAGGGTCCGTCACCTATTCGACCCTTTTCGTTCAGTTCCGTAACGTCGTAGGCATGACTAGGTAAATTTGCACTTTGTTTTACAGTGTGGACGTAGCTCAGTCGGTTAGCTGTCGGGCTAACAATCCGAAGGTCGCGAGTTCGTGTCCGACGGTTTCTCACAAAAACTGGTTGCTTGTCTTTGAGACATGTGACCTATTGCAGAGATCGTCCTCACGAGAAGTTGTGGACTGTATTCTAAAGGTGCTCCTTAGCGACTTGTAGTGTAACCACTGAGCTATCGTGAGTTTTTGTCATAAAATAATATATCACGTGACTTACCATGGGTCCAGGTAGTCCTGTGGGTACCCGAGGAACCACCTGACCTGAGTACCCGAGACTGGCCGAGTTACCCGTCCCAGCCCTACCATGCATGTGGTCATACAATTTACGAGCTTTGTGATGGGATTCCAACCATGGACCTTCTGATCCGAGGTTGGACGCCTTGTCCACATGACCAGAGAGGTTAACACTGTCAGCAAGCTGACAAGGTGACGATGGCATTTGTGGGATAAGTCCATGCCCTGCTACACAAGACATTGCAGTTTCTTTCAAGCCAACTCATGGCCTGTTTTTATGTCGTTCTTCATCTGTTGTAACCATCTCATCAGAATTCACTGAACTATATGGGCGGCCATTCGGTTTAAAAAATACGATGTTAAAAAAAAAGGACAAAAGTACACAATACACAATAAATGTCAAATATTACGAATAAAGAACTAAATGTTACTTATAAAGGTCAAAATACAAAACTATGAGACGCCGGTTTAAAAAATACAAAGTTGAAATTAAGGTCAAAAGTATGGAATATTAATAGTCAAATGTTACGAAAAGACGTCATAAGAAAAGAAAGAACAATGTGTTCGAAAGAACGTCAGTGAGCATGAAAGGACGTTTACAATAAAGAACTTCAGTGAACACGAAAGGACGTTGACAATAAAGAACGTCAGTGAGCATGAAAGGATGTTGACAATAAAGAACGCCAGATGGCGCTTCAATTTGTAAAACATTCCAAGTTTAACCGGCTTGTTCTGCTGTGTATATGATAACTGAATGCATGCCGAGGTGCACAATGTATTACGTCACTCCTCGTGCTCTCACCGTCTGACGTCATATATATAATGTATGTATGTATAATGTACACATTGTGTATATACACGTTGCGTTTAACTTTAAGCATCGTCATGGGTCAAGGGCTTTTTCATAAATACAGTACACTGTGTAATCTGACATCTGCCTAATTAGTACATGTATTTTGTATACAACCTTCAATAAACATTCATTTAACGTTTAACTAGGATTAATCAACAATGATCCAATTAATTGTTCATGCACGGTGCAACAAGAGGGCGCTACAATGCCGAGTCTTGTTTCAGATGCACATATTGTCATAACATCTGAACAGTGAACGCTGTGCAAGAATTTGTTTTATTTAAAAGCTTTTCGGGAACTCTGTGCGAACAAAATGCTGCCTAATATCTGAACGTCAAAAATTAATATCATATAGATTTGTATGCATATGTATCACATTACACATTGGTTAGGAAAAATAACTTTCCATAAATAAAGAAAATTGATTTTTCCTATGACACCAGCGTTCGTTTTCAAACCAGATTAATTTCGCTTATTTCTATTTGTGACAAAGACTAGTAAGTTGATGCCGAAACGTACGAATAATTCAGGGATGTATCTATCGCAGCTGTGTGTGAAATATATGTGATGTTATATGCTTCTCATAACCGGCATACATTAAACATGTCTTTGTATCCAATATGGCAGAAAGTTCGCTTTTAAACGATTCTATGGTTAATAAAAATTAGCATATATATATATATATGCATGCATGCATGCAGTTATCATATACACGGCGGAACAAGCCGATTAAACTCAGAATGTTTACAAATTGCAGCGCCATCTGGCATTCTTTATTGTCAATGTCCTTTCGTTCTCACTGACATTCTTTATTGTAAACGTCCATTCTCACTCACTGACGTTCTTTCGAACACATTGTTCTTTCTTTTCTTATGACGTCTTGTCGTAACATTTGATGATTAACATTGATACTTTCGACCTTTATTTCAACTTTGTATTTGTTAAACCAGCCTCTCATAGTTTTGTATTTTGACCTTTATAAGTAACATTTAGTTCTTTATTCTTAATATTTGACAGACCGCCTCCGTGGTCTAGAGGTAGAGCGTCCGCCTGGAGAGCGGAAGGTCCGGGGTTCGATCCCCGACCGCGTCATACCAAAAGACGTTAAAAGATTGTACTTGTTGTTACCCTGTCTGGCACTCGGCATTAAGGGGCTAAAACAAGGACTTTTTAACACTAAAGCACATTCTGTGGGAAAGCGGCACAGTTGTCTAAGGTGCTGCAGTTCACTGTGTAGTGTTGCGTAGTTTAGGCATGCCCAAACGCTTTGATCATGGGTAGGACTCCCAGATTCATCCAGATTATGATTCTTGGTCCTTCAGCACTATACCCATGCTCGTGGTTTCGTGGAAGTGGAAGTGACTAAGACCTACATCATTTTGGGCTTCCTAGCTTACACTGAAACTTACACTCCATCATATGGCTGAAATATTGTTCAAAGTGGCTTTAAACCACATTCACTCACTGCATCACAATTGAACCTGGTTGATCAGATTTGTTACAAATGGTTTCTATTGTTGTCAACTGATCCAGAAATCTATGCAGATTTCTTGCATTTGAATTCCATTTCAGAATGTTTATAAACCAATCAGCTTGTGGCACACATATTATACAATTGGCATTATTCTACAGGCAAAGGATATAGTTTCTGTATTTCGAGAGTTGGCGAAACAAGCACAGCCGACTTCAGCAACATTCAGCAATCAGTCTGCAGGGGATACACTTATCGCAAACACAAAATGGTCTCAGAGGGACTTACTGAGGGGAGAGAAAACATCTTTCTCCAAAACATACATCCTGTCTCCAGATGGTCCCTCAGGTCTGCGTGTTGTCATGGCAACACCCCCACAGGAATTCTCAAATGTGTAAGACCTTGAATTGTGACAATATCTTCAGTTCATGGATTGAATATATTTATTAGTTTATTATCACCCACTTCTCAATGTGAAGAGTTCTTCTCTGAAACTCTTCAAGAGAAGTGAAATTTTAGACACTTTTGATACTGGATACGATCTCAAATGAGTTTGAAAATTGGTGTGGTACATCCACTTTTTCAGAGTTATGGCCCTTGCTCCATGCTTTTCATCTTAGTGCATAGTACTTGCAATGGGGACAACTTTTCTCAGAAACTGCTGAGGTTGCATGAATGAAAGTTTATCTAAGACTAAGAGATACTTGTCAAGACTGAGTTTGAAAATTGGTCCCGTAAATTATTCGTTTACAGAGTTACGGCCCTTGATCCATGTTATTTTACATAGTGCGTCCAGTCTGCAATGGGGACACGTTTTCTCAGAAACTACTAAAGTTAGCTTATCTAAGAGATACTTATCAATACTTATCATGAGTTATTTTTCCAGAGAAGGGGCCTTTGTGTGTATAAATTTCACATTCAATATTTTTTTTCTATTTTTAAACAAAAAACCCCACAAAAATCCTATTTAGCCTGCCAGGTTCAGAATCCTAGATATATCTCTGTCATATAGCATGTTTTGAATATGTAAGAATAATTTAACCACAAGTGTCAGGCCAGAATGCACATTAACATGACACATATGCTGGTCACAGATTATGGAACCGGGAATCCCCATCTGGTCGACTGCGAGCTGTTGTCTGCAAAGTGAAGAACAAGAAAGGGGAGGAGAAGCAATACTTTGAGGTAAGGCGTTTGTAATGCATGACATGCTATGTCTCTCACTGATGGCAGTCATCCAGATAGCTCAAATATTCACTTTGTATACTGAGTCTGTCATGTCTTTCCATTCATCTAAATATATCTAAATATATGCTCCAGAACCTCTTGCTTTTCCCACTAAAACTGGAACTGCTAATAGAAGCTGTTCCATGCTTAAATTAGGAGAAAATCTGGATACACCTTGGAGAATACCAGCAGAACATGATTGATCTTGTACATGTACAGTCATAAAGGAGGACATATCCTGCAGTGCACAGAAGGAAATAGAGGGACTCAAAGTTCACACTGAGTTTTGAGAAAGAATGACAGGAAACCTAGAAGCTCTAATTGTGTGATTCATCTGGTTTTTTTATTTCAAGATATGGAACTCCAGTCGGAAGGTGAAAACCTTTGATATACAGTGTTGTGAGAAACATGGGAAGGTTTATGAAGCAGACGGTAAGGAGAGGATCCTTCCTCCTTTCTTTCCCCATTGGTATACATGTGTCATGCAAGTACAACCAGCGATTATTGCTAGACTGTAGGGCTGTGTGTGGGTAAATTTTTTTTGTAATATATTGTGATACAGGTATTTGTATTGCGATATGTATTGATATTTAATGGGAGCTAAAGTGTTGACAGTGATTGTTCATGCAGATCCCAGTTTCTACAAACTGAAGTAACTATTACAATGTCAAATTCAGCATAGTCAGTCCCCGCCATTTTGTAGTCATGGATACTGGGGATAACAACATGAGAGAGAAATAACACAAATCCTCCGTTTTGTCAATCAATTTCTGTGTATATTTTAGGTTAAATGATACAAATAATAATGAAACTTGTTTTGTTTTCTTTACCCAATATACTGGAATAATGGAAATATGTTGCAACATAGGTATCATTTGAAAAGCGTATTGCAAAATACTGGTATACTGGTAAAACCATGCAGTCCTACTAGGATGTGGAGAGAAACAGTAGGACTGCTTGCAGGTTTAAGCTGTATCCTCCCTCCGTTGTTCCCCATTGTGTCATGTGTCATGCTGGACTGCAGGAGAGACTGTTGCTCTTCCAGGCCAGTTCGGCTGCCTGGAGTGGTCTCCCTCCGAAAGGTACTTGGTGTATATAGCTGAGAAGAAAGTCCCCAAGACTGGAAGCTTTTTCGAGGAAGACAAGCAACCTGCTGATGAGGGTGCTAAGAAAGAGGAGATAATACGAGTAAGAGGGTTATGTTCTTAAATCAACTTCCTAAGGATCAAAATGTTTGTATGGATGCTGAATAAGTCTATCTTAAGCTTTGAAGTTACAGAGACAATGCAGCAAGAGGTGATGTTCTTTTTCCTTCGAAATTCCCAAGTATATTGGCAGTTATAGCTTACCTTGTATACCATCAGACCTATGGAGTAGCTTCTGTCTACAACCCTGTCACTGGTTTTTGTTTTTGGAAAACCCATTCACTAAAATGTTGGAGTAAAAGCAATATTATGGACATAAGCATTTGATATCCAGCAAGGTTAACATTAGTGTGTGTCATATCGGGATGATAACTGGGACAAGTGTTGGTGAGTTTAGACCAAGTCAGTTGCAGTCAAGTCCAATACACACGCAGGTCTGGAGGTCCATTTATGAGCAGATTGATTTCCTTCCATTTCTCTGAAACTTGATAAATAAACAGATAAAGAAGCTACACCTCTTTTTTAATTTTATATACTGTCACACAAGTTTTATGTTCATTTTCTATAATACGGTGGTTAAACTCTATTCCGTCCAGCAGTAGTATTGAAAGCATTTTAACAGTGCTTCAGTAAAGCCACATTTAGAAGTGGCAGGGCATGCTAATGATGGGTGTGTCCTCTGCAGGGGAATGAACATGTGTTCCGAGGAGACTGGGGAGAACAGCTTGTGGACAAACATCATCCTGTGCCGTGTGTGATTGATGTGAGGTCGGGCGAAGTCACAGTGCTGGACAACATTCCGGGGGATATATCTGCTGGACAGGTAAGACCTCATGATGTTGTGGTTAGGTAACACCATAGAGGTTCGACAGTACTGGAGGAGGTCACTAATAAGAAGGCGTTATGTTGATCCTGAAGGCTAATGTTTGTGTGGCCACTTCTTGGTGTTGGTAGTGTCTAGTGTTAGGCAGCAGAACAGGTTCCAAGCACCCTGTTTGTTGTAAGAGCTGACCAAAATGACATCGGTGGTTAGTTATTTATTGTTGCAGTAAGCACAGCATTAAGCCCCTATTTTGTTGTATCCAACCACAGCGATGTACTGTTTCAGGCAAGTTGGGCCAGTGACGATGCAGGTGTGGTGTTTGTAGGCTGGAACCATGATCCATGGAGGCTAGGACTCATCTACTGCGTCCAGAGGAGGTCAGTCCATAGTCCTGCACACTCCATGTAAAACAGTTGTAGGCTGGCCAGGAAGCAGGAGTCAGTTCTGACCCTGGTTCATTGTTACAATCATTTGGATGATACATCCTGAAAATATGATGGGCATAACACTGTTCTAATCATGATAATCAGCATTGTAGAAATACACGAGGTAAATAAAAATAAATAGATATAAATGCAGTTACCTATATATCAACGAAATATTGGTCATCATATGAACTATACTTCATAAATTACTTAGTGTTTTGTTGCTGTTTCAGGAGTGGAATTTACTTTGTTGATCTGAAGAACACAAAATGTTGTAAGTATTGTCACATTAATTGGGAAAAAGTAGTGTCAAGGTATCCCTGATGTTTTGTGTGTCATTGTGTTGCGCCTTGGTATCCCTGATGTTACATGTGTCCGTGTGTTGTGCCTTGGTATCCCTGGTGTTACATGTGTCTGTGTGTTGTGCCTTGGTATCCTTGATGTTACATGTGTCCGTGTGTTGTGCCTTGGTATCCTTGATGTTACTCGTGTCAGTGTGTCGTGCCTTGGTATCCTTGATGTTACATATGTCAGTGTGTTGTGCCTTGGTATCCTTGATGTTACTCGTGTCAGTGTGTTGTGCCTTGGTATCCTTGATGTTACTCGTGTCAGTGTGTTGTGCCTTGGTATCCTTGATGTTACTCGTGTCAGTGTGTTGTGCCTTGGTATCCTTGATGTTACTCGTGTCAGTGTGTTGTGCCTTGGTATCCTTGATGTTACTCGTGTCAGTGTGTTGTGCCTTGGTATCCTTGATGTTACTCGTGTCAGTGTGTTGTGCCTTGGTATCCTTGATGTTACTCGTGTCAGTGTGTTGTGCCTTGGTATCCTTGATGTTACTCGTGTCAGTGTGTCGTGCCTTGGTATCCCTGATGTTACATGTGTCAGTGTGTTGTGCCTTGGTATCCCTGGTGTTACATGTGTCAGTGTGTTGTGCCTTGGTATCCTTGATGTTACTCGTGTCAGTGTGTCGTGCCTTGGTATCCCTAATGTAACATGTGTCAGTGTGTTGTGCCTTGGTATCCTTGGTGTTACATGTGTCAGTGTGTTGTGCCTTGGTATCCTTGATGTTACGTATGTCAGTGTGTTGTGCCTTGGTATCCCTGATGTTACATGTGTCAGTGTGTTGTGCCGTGGCAACACGAAGCCCCTGCTGATGGAGGCAGTTGTTTTACCACCATGTCCTGTTACATCCAGTGGTACTGAGTGAGGAAAACCGGTCAGTGAGGAGTCCACGCTTCAACCAGGACTGGTCAAGACTGGTATATTTGGACAACCCAGCCAGAGGAGGACACAGCCAGTGTTCACGGCTAATGATGGTCAGTTGTTTCCCCATGTGGTGTTCATGGTATATACGGAAGAATCTAATTGGCATCGAGCAAGAGGCCATCTTACTTTTCTATTGAATCAGATTTGATTAAGATGTTACCTGATTATGTAGCAATAGTATAACATCATGATGATGATGATAATGAACAGTTCAGGTAATGACAGCTATCTCTTGTCCTGTTGAGAAACAATTACCCATTTGTGCCGTAGGTGTGCTTCACTATGTAGATTATTTGTTTCAGTATGACTGGAACACGAAGAAAACAAGTGTAGTTCAGGACATTGTAGACTCTGCAGCAGGTTTGTGATACTCTGATTGTGCTATAAAGATTTCATGTTCACGTCGTACTAACTAGTCCCTCAGATTTTTACATGAAAACATGATTGTAATTCAACATGTGTAATGTCTACTTCAACAAAATGTCATCTTTTTGTCATCTTGCAACTGGTGCTCAATAAAGCATTTTTGGAATTGATATATAGACCTTATATAGGCAATTGATGATACTTACTCAGTACAGACAGATGTTCTGATACAAGACATCACTTCAACAATGGCTCCATGTTACCCAAGTCCAGTTCTTCAACTCAGATAATCAGGCTGATAAACTAAACTTGTACTGGTGTCTCCTTACAGGGGAAGAGTTCCAAGGTATCTTTTCTGGCAACCTTCCTAGAAGACCGTGGTTACCTGGAGGAAGGGAGATAGTGCTGACTACCTTCTGGAGGAGTAGGCAGGTGAGTTACCTAGACGAGGGTGTTACCTGGAGGGAGGGAGATAGTGCTGACTACCTTCTGGAGGAGTAGGCAGGTGAGTTACCTAGACGAGGGTGTTACCTGGAGGAAGGGAGATAGTGCTGACTACCTTCTGGAGGAGTAGACAGGTGAGTTACCTAGACGAGGGTGTTACCTGGAGGGAGGGAGATAGTGCTGACTACCTTCTGGAGGAGTAGACAGGTGAGTTACCTGGACGAAAGGTGTTAGACAGGTGGAGGAGTAAACAGGTGAGCTACCTAGACGAGGGTGTTACCTGGAGGGAGGGAGATAGTGCTGACTACCTTCTGGAGGAGTAGACAGGTGAGCTACCTAGATGAAGGTGTTACCTGGACGAAGGTGTTACCTGGAGGGAGGGAGATAGTGCTGACTACCTTCTGGAGGAGCAGACAGGTGAGCTACCTAGACGAAGGTGTTACCTGGAGGGAGGGAGATAGTGCTGACTACCTTCTGGAGGAGTAGGCAGGTGAGTTACCTAGACGAGGGTGTTAGACAGGTGGAGGAGTAAACAGGTGAGCTACCTAGACGAGGGTGTTAGACAGGTGGAGGAGTAAACAGGTGAGCTACCTAGACGAGGGTGTTACCTGGAGGGAGGGAGATAGTCCTGACTACCTTCTGGAGGAGTAGACAGGTGAGCTACCTAGACGAAGGTGTTACCTGGAGGGAGGGAGATAGTGCTGACTACCTTCTGGAGGAGTAGGCAGGTGAGTTACCTAGACGAGGGTGTTAGACAGGTGGAGGAGTAAACAGGTGAGCTACCTAGACGAGGGTGTTACCTGGAGGGAGGGAGATAGTGCTGACTACCTTCTGGAGGAGTAGACAGGTAAGTTACCTGGACGAGGGTGTTACCTGGAGGGAGGAAGATAGTGCTGACTACCTTCTGGAGGAGTAGACAGGTGAGTTACCTAGACGAGGGTGTTACCTGGAGGGAGGGAGATAGTGCTGACTACCTTCTGGAGGAGTAGACAGGTGAGTTACCTGGACGAAGGTGTTACCTGGAGGGAGGGAGATAGTCCTGACTACCTTCTGGAGGAGTAGACAGGTGAGCTACCTGGACGAAGGTGTTACCTGGAGGGAGGGAGATAGTGCTGACAACATTCTGGAGGAGTAGACAGGTGAGTTACCTAGATGAGGGTGTTACCTGGAGGGAGGGAGATAGTGCTGACAACATTCTGGAGGAGTAGACAGGTGAGTTACCTGGACGAAGGTGTTACCTGGAGGGAGGGAGATAGTCCTGACTACCTTCTGGAGGAGTAGACAGGTGAGCTACCTAGATGAGGATAGTCATCTTTGATGATACTCCTAGTTTCAGTGTTGAGATATGTATTGATTTGAAGGATTTTGATTTGTGTGTTTGTGCCTCCTAGATATGTTATGCCTGTTGACATAGTTCATTATCTGGTTCTGTGTTACCTATAGCATTAACAACTGAAATGATCAGATATGTCTGGAGATCATATACTCCACTCAACTTGTGTTGTCACATTCATTCCTTGTTTTTGTGTGAGATCTGGAATTGCTGTAAACGTGACTTGGGTCCTCACTTCAATCCAGTGAGGGAATAGTACAATGTGTGAAGCCCATTTCTGGTGTCCCCCGCCGTGATATTGCTGGAATATTGCTAAAAGCGGCGTAAAACCATACTCACTCACTCACTCCCAGTGAGGGAATAGCAATAAAATAAATAATGTTCTTGTTATGACTGGCAGTAATTTCTTTGTTTACCAAGGTGATAAAACTTTTTATCTTCTTAAGCATACACTATGGTTTCATTGTGATTTTCCTCGCAGGTGCCAGTGATCATTGACATCAACTCAAAAACAGTGAGGAAACTTGATACAGGTATTTGACTCATGATTATCAAATTGAGGTACAAATGACACTGTATTGTTGTGTTGGTCGGCTTCCTCCTTGGAAGAAACAACATGAGTCGGGATTCAATACACAAGCAATTTACTCAACTTATTAAGATGGTGACATGATGTGGTGATGTCATCAAAAGCTGTGCTCACTGTAGAAGGACAAGGTTCAGTCTCTGATATCAATTATGCCACAGTATCCACATGTTGTACCTCATCTGTTTTTAGCAACAGCCATGTTCAGTAACCCATTAAAGTCTTAATCAGCCATATTTTTTTTAAATATATTGAAATTGGGCACAGATGTAGTTATCATGTATGTTTTAGAGTCCACCTGTACAGCATACTAGTTGTTGTCATGGAAGTGAAGATACTGCCATGGCTTTGAAAATCAAAGCAACAGCAAACTTAGGAATCATTTATAAGCCTATCAGGGATATTGACCATTGGTTTTAATGAGACTTGTATTTTCATAATAACCTCTAAGGAGTGCACTTTCCTTGTAAGACCTGTCATGACACTGCAGTTGAAAGACCTTCACAAGTTTGGCATGCTATTAAATATCTCTCATACTGTTTGACTGATGAAGCTGAAATTTGCAGGAACCCTTCTTATGAAGACCATTCGTCACCAATCGCCCCTTTCCGTAACCTGCAAGAGGACTTGTCCCCCTATCGATGAATGTTATGTGTGAAAATACAACAAACCAAACAGAATGCGCATATGATTTCAAGTTCTTCGTCAAAGAATCCCTCAGAAATAATTTTTGATTTTCCATATGTCTTGCAGTGTTCCCGCTGGCTTTTGAAACTGCCAGTCCTTGCCAGTCCTGGCATCTCTTAAAATTACCAGTCCCCCCTAATTTCTGCCAGTCCCAACTTTCAACAAATAAAAAAACGTATGAAAAGTATTTGGTTTTAATTCTTTCAACATCATGTTCAATGCAAAGATGTCATCTCTGAAGTAACTTAGTTAGATCTATACGTCATTCACACAAACTTCAGTCACAATTTTCTCTTCTTTTTTTTGTATATATTTCGAGACAAGTCACTACAAATGGATATTTAACCTAGAAATAGACAGGGGGAAACCCTGATGGTAACAGACAAGCCGACTTGAATATCACCGATGTTGTTCAACAACAAAGATGTATAAGGTACTCTATTTGCTGGTCCACAGGGACTGGCAGTCTCATGAATTACCGGTCCAAGCCTAATTTTACCGGTAAAAAACTGGTTATTACCGGTAAACGGGAACGCTGGTCTTGCATCTAAAAATATACCCAAGACACAGTTACATGTGTTTAGTCATACTGTATAATTCCGCATGTCACGATGTGCTTTAAATTGCATCTGAAATATATATAATATATGGGGAAATATATGTGAACCATTACGCAACGACTTGACAATTGTTTAAGGTATGCCCATTTGCGCTAAAACGGAACCCGGTCACGAAAATGGTCACGAGAGGGGCACGAATTGCTATTCGGCTTGTCCCGGAATAACATGAGTTGGTCACGAATGTATGAAGACACCTTATCATGTTCAAATCAATGTGATTTTATTGTTTGAATATAAATAACTTCAAATTTTACACAAAGTTTTGAGAAAAAGGGTACATGGCTTAATGTGATGTTGTGACTATAAGCAGATCTAAGTTTCTTCAAGACATGACATATTTGCTTTCAATTTCATTGTCCTAAACGATGCTGCAAACGGACTTCTTTACCTCAGAATATTTTGCACCAATTTCACATTAACTCTGTCAATATTTGTGCCAAAATAAGGTTGGAAGTGTCATGAACTTTGATGTATGTACCAGATACTAGTATAGTGGTAGTATACATCTATGTTTCAGATAATAGCTTATTATATTCATAAGTCAGGTGAGCTACAGAGCTTTGTAACTATTTTTTGTGTTCAATTCTTCTGTATTCCTTTTGTTGGATTGTTGATTGTATATGATTGATATTAGTGGCATATTTTATTGTGCTAAATGTATCATACATATTTAGTGCATTAACTGTTTGCTGGTTTCCCGTAGCGCCTCACACAGGCTCCAGTGTGGTGTTGGATGTGTGGAATAACCATGTGATACTCCAGTCGTCAGCTCCAGACCAGATCCCGTACCTTGTATGTATATAGTGTGCTCAATTGTATCGATATTATATCATCCTTTTAATTTTTAGTAAGTTCATTTTTGTTCTTAACCCTCTAGTGCCTATTGTAGCATATGCTACATAACACTTCACCCAGTGGGAATGTGTACTGTAAGGCTGTAAGAGTTGTCTCCCTTCAATGACCTTAATTTTGTCAACATTTTAAGATGGCCACTTCCATGTACAAGGCTTGCTTCTCTTCGGCAGTGTATGTCCAGAGTAATATACATTCTTTCAGGTTAGAACACATTATGCAAACTGTTTCTTCTCCTTCATGGGATATCTACACAACAGTTTGTGATGATTGTGTGGTGTTATTACATTTTGATCTTTTCATGCATATCCGTGTGTAGCATAGATGCAACAATGGGAATTAGAGGAACTGAAAAGGCAAGATAACTTCTCAAGTGAAGTTAAAGGAAACATTAATTTGGGGTTAAATTATTAGGTTTAAAAAATAAACAATTGGTTCTCAGGCAATGGCTCTTGAATACTGTAAATCTGGTAATTACTGCGTCTCCAAATTAATATGACTGCTGACCCCTAGCCAAAAATGAGACTCAATATCAATGCGACTTCCCCCACCCCATCCCCAGTGGAATGATGCATAGCCTTACCTTAATCCAATCAGAAAGCAAATAGCACCGCTTATTAACACTGAGTAGAGCACTTCTGTAAAAACAACAAAACAGTGTTTTCCTAAAAACAACAAACAGTTTATATGTTTACTCTGTTGCCTGGCATTAAGGAAGTATAAAGGCAATAGAATAACTGAACAAACAACAGTTCACTGATAACTATGTGGAGAAGGTGTCAACAAGCTTGACACGAACGGGTAGAACTCTTGACCCCAGCAGTGATAACTCACCAGATGCACATTGTGTAATTCCTATTAATATTCCTTGAATGACATTGTTATATACTTGTTACAACTGCTGCTCAATATACCATCTTTGTGTTTATATTCAAGTTGGTATTCATACTATTCAAAGTGTGCAGTGAGGCCGTCTTATTGTTGACATTTGGAGACATAAATGTGAAGTTAATTAATGTGAGCAAAGACCACTCACATTTTTTTATTTAATTCACGCTCTCGTTAATTTCAAGATTTACAGTATATAGCATGGGCGGGCAGTATATTTTTTGTTCAAACTAGTACGTAACCAAATAAACGGTTGTGTACAATCAACCAGGGAAAAGGCCTCCCCGCATAAATGTATTCCTTGATGAGTAAAATACTGGAATACAGTAATTGACTACCGCATGATACACTCTTTGTTTGTTTGTTGTTTAGTGCAACACTTAGCAATATTCCAGCTACATTGTATATGACAGCGGTCTGTAAATAATCAAGTCTGGACCAGACATCATGAGTATCGATCCATGCAATTGGGATACAATGACATGCATCAACCAAGTCAGCGAGCCTGACCACCCGATCCTGTTAGTCGCCTCTTACGACAAGCATAGTCGCCTTTTATGGCAAGCATGGGTTGCTGAAGAATTATTCTACCCCGGATCTTCACAGGTCGCATAATACACGCATACAATGAGCTTTGATTTTTTTGTGAGCACACATCACTAGAAGAAGCATGTCAACATATCCATACTGAAGTACGCAAGTTAGTCCTATTATTACTCAATCTGGCAACAAAAGTGTTCATTGTGTATCTGGACATACTTTTTTAATCTATTATTTTCCTTTTATCCAAGATTTCATTGAATTTTGTTACATTACGTTAATTTCGGCTAGTATGTGTATGAACTGATTTGCAAATCACATTGAATTACCATGAACTCGCCTTGAAACGAACACACAAAGATACAAAGTCTTCAGTCTTCCTAACACTACTGAAATTTCTTTTTAGGCATAATATTGGCCATGACATTAAGTATTACATAAACTAAATCACCCATAGATGGGGAGAACATGTGTGAACAGCTGATTGCTATTTCCAGCTTATTTTACAAGACAAATCCACATGCAAGCTTAACCTCTGCGTATGAAACATTGTCCGGCATACAGTACACAAATACCATTGAATTTGTAGATCATCATGTCTTGTGATGTTTTATTGTAAAATATCATGTTTTCATTTACCATATTTGCAAACGACAAAACAAGCACACAAACTCCTATTGCCGCAATAACCGTAACACAATGATGCAGTGGCTTCAGATTCATCAAATGCTTGAATTGTGGACTCCATTTGTGTCTAAACAAAGACAGAAATTGGTTCCTAGGTTTACATCCCTGACTACAGACATTCTTCTATTCTGTCCAAACTTTGATACAGACCTAATTGAATTTTATCTAGAGTGATTTTGATTTATTAAGTTACATTTGTGTTCTGCATTGTTGAATTCTTATTGGTTCTTGTTATTAAAACAGTTAGATAGAAGAAAACACATTGTTTGAGTTCACTACATGATTAAATGCCTCATTTATTGTCACAGTAAATATTAAAAAAGTGACTAAAATTTCAGCTGGGATGTTCAAATATAACCATAAACAAATATTTGAATTTTTAGACATTTGGATCATGATGTGGACATAAGAGGGTTAACCAGATATGTACCTTAATTGTGCACAACATCTTCACTGTTTTTATGAATCTTATCAATTCTTTTTTTTACCTCAGATGTTGGGTAAACTGGATTCAGCTGAAACAAAATGGCTGACATTGGTGGCTGAAGAAACAAAGATTGATGGACTTGACTGGAAGATTATCCAGCATCAGCCGTCCCAGGAAAGAGTCCATGTCCAATACAGTGAGCAGTGACAGACAGACAGACAGACAGACACAGCATGTCACTGGGAAACCCCAGTAACTGAACGTGCATTGTATCCAGTGTAGGGATGAGTTTCCAAAGTTCACCGGCCAGGAGGGCTTGTTTACAAAAAGTGTTGCAACCCCTTCTCATGTTTTACTAGCACAAAACACTGCAAAATGAAAACAAATTGAAGCAGACTTTGACATTAAACGATGCCTTAACTGACTTGATGATTCATAGAAATATAGGTGTATTGACTGGAATTTCAATCAGATAGTCGGGCCAGCTTTGCAGAAATGTTACTAGTCCAGTTCAAAAGTCATTGGCATAGGCAGCTATTTCTAACACTGATTGTATCATCCAAACTGTACATTGAATTATTAGAATTTCAAGACAAGTTGAGTGGTAAAACTGACAATAAGACGAAAGTGAGTGTTTTACAGTATGTGATCACAGTGGCCTGGATGGGAAGGGAGTGAAAGTTAGGATTAGGATACACAATCTGCCTAGGTACATACAGCAACCATCCAGTCAGCATGGGCCAACTCTGCTTCACCTTTTCTGTACTGATACCTCGCAAGTGGGAAGAATGGAGTGGTTCTGTTTATCCCCAGGATATATAATTTACGGAGCATAACTTGAAAACTTGAAAACTGTGAAAGCTAAACTTGGTAATACAATAACCAGGGGTACCTTTTGCTATTTTGTGAGCCAGGGGTATTTGTCATCTTATGATGACTCTTGTTTTAAATTTGTTTCAACCTGTTTCACACAATCACAGAACTCCTACTACATCGTACAATCAGATACATGCTCTCACAGTTTTGTTTGACCCATGAAGATCCGGGGTAGAATAAGTCTTCAGCAACCTATGCTTGTCTCTCCGTGAAGATCAGGGGTAGAATAGACCTTCAGCAACCCATGCTTGCCGTAAAAGGCGACTATACTTGTTGTAAGAGGCGACTAACCTGATTAGGTGGTCAGGCTCGCTGACTTGGTTTGATGCATGTCATTGAAATCCAATTGCGTGGATTGATGCTCATGATATCAGTCACTGGATTGTCTGTTCCAGACACCATTATTTACAGACTGCCGTCATATAGGTGGAATATTGCTGAATGGGGCGTTTCACAACAAACAAACAAAGTTTGGTTGGTGTTCCCAAGTTTTCCTGTACACTTGTGAAGGAGGATCGTTTTGTATGAGGCGTTTTAGTGGTGGACTGAACTGACTCAAATCAAGCAGTAAAAACTCTTCTATGGCTTGGGTTGTCATTAATGATGTTGCTGTGTGTTGTAGGTGACCTGGACTACGAGAGTGTGTTGTGCATGCCGACATCAGCAACCCTCCCAAGAGACTACAAGCCACCTCTCATTGTCTTTCCACATGGTGAGGTTACAACAGGGTGTATCACCCTGGAAACATTGTGTCTCCTGAAATGTAGTTCATAATTACATTGTAGGTTATTTGTTTGCTAACATTAAAGTTGCCATTGAAAATGATGTCCCATTGTGTTATGCAATATGATGCTTTTGTATACCAAGATCAACACACATTCCAACATACCCCATCTTAAGTATGTAAGTAAATCCACCATCTACATATAGTTAGCTGCATAACAGAAATAATATATTTAAATTGGTTCTGATTTTATCATAGATCAATATTTTGTATGTTGTAACATCTTCTTGATATCTTCAAATCAGTTGTTTCCCATAGAAATGTTGTTCTGAGTTATTTATTGTTCGTACCCTGTATATGGGAAGTCTGTTTGTTGTTGCATTGAGATGGATATGTGTGAAGGCTAGTCCACTGTTTCAGGTGGCCCACACACCACGTTTGACTGCCAGTTCCAGATGTACACAGCAGGCTTCTGTCAGTGTGGATATGCTGTGCTCATGGGTGAGTAGGTCAAGGATATGCTGTGCTCATGGGTGAGTAGGTCAAGGATATGCTGTGCTCATGGGTGAGAAGGTCAAGGATATACTGTGCTCATGGCTGAGTAGTTCAAGGATATGCTGTTCTCATGGTTGAATAGGTCTAGGATATGCTGTGCTCATGGGTGAGTAGGTCAAGGATTAACTGTGCTCATGGGTGAGTAGGTGAAGGATATGCTGTGCTCATCAGTGAGTAGGTGACAGATATGCTGTTCTCATGGCTGAGTAGGTCAAGCACGGGTATGCTGTTTTCATGGGTGAGCAGGTCACAAGCAGCTTCTATGGCAGAATATAGGTTCAGGATAAGGTGACCCCCTTACACATTTGAACGCAAGAAGGTGACGTGGGCTTGGGTGGCCAGGTGCTACAACCTCACAATTCTCTCAATGGATTTTTTTGAATGGACACTCCTGATCTGTAAAATTCTGAATTTCCTGCTCAATTAGTTTATGTTATGTTGTCTTTTAATGTTTTAGTGAACTACCGTGGCTCTGTTGGGTTTGGTCAGAACAGTATTGACTCTCTCCTTGGAAATGTTGGGGATCAAGATGTGAAAGATGTCTGGGTGAGATGGGTAACAGATTTGTTACCTTTCAACAGCAATAATTCTTGAAGAGTGACTGAGAACTATTTTCATGTTAAACTGTCAGCAATGTTTCAGCTGCGAGGGGTGTTCATTAAAGATTTCCCCTAAACCACTTTTAATAGGGTTATCATATTTGGTTGAAATTTCACATGTGTAATGATACATGTATCTATGGGTTATGTCTGAATTTGCAGCACCGAAGTATTAATCTTACCACTTTTACAGGTGTTATGATCGAGTAGGGTGTGACAATGGAGCCAGTAGAATACCGAGCAGTGATTAGGTTTTTATATTTGAAAGGTCGCACACCAAAAGAGACTTTCGATGAAATGAAAGCAACTTATGGGGAAGATGCCCCATCGTATGACGTTGTTAAACACTGGCATCGCCAGTTCAAGTGTGGTCGGACATCTGTGGAAACAGCTGCCATTCCTGGTCGCCCCCATTGAGCCATTAATGAGGACACTATCCATCAAGTGGAGACCGCCATTTTGGCAGACCGATGTATAACTGTTCGCCAGTTAGCACAAGATGTCAAGATCAGTGTAGGGTCTGTGGAAAAAATCATCCATGACAATTTGAACATGCATAAGGTGTCTGCACGATGGATTCCCAGGTTGCTCACATCTTTCCAAAAGCAGGAACGAGTCAATTGCTCAAAGGATCTTTTGGACATGTGCCAAAAAATACAGGCAAACTTTTTTGACAGACTTATCGCACAAACATGGGTCCATCACTATGATCCTGAGACTAAAGTTCAGTCGATGCAATGGAAGCATGTGGGGTCACCACCCCCAAGGAAGTCACGTGTCCAACCAGGGTCATGCTCACGGTGTTTTGGGACCAGCACGGAGTAGTGATGATGGATTTCTTGGCAAAGGGTACCACAATTACAGGAGCTTATTATGCTTCACTGCTGCGGAAATTGCGGGACGCTATCAAGCTTAAGAGGCGTGGCATGCTGACCAAGGGTGTCCATCTCCTGCAAGACAATGCTCCAGTACACAACACTCTCATGTTGCCCAGACAGAAGCGCGGTCCTGTGGCTATGAAATCCTTCCACATCCTCCTTACTCTCCTGACCTTGCACCATCTGACTTCCACCTCTTTCCAACCATGAAGTCATTTTTGAAGGGAAAACGTTTCACAGATGATGAAACACTGATTTCTGAAGTCAAGTCCTGGTTTGAGATGCAAAATGAGGGCTTTTACAAGCGAGGTCTCCATAGTTGCATAAAACGATGGGAGAAGTGTGTAACTCTTGTTGGTTCCTATGTGGAGAAAGACTAATACCTATGCCAAGTTTCATTCCACTAGGTCCATCGGAAGTGGGTCTGGGGAAATCTTTAATGAACACCCCTATCATTGTTGCCTCTTATAATCATGTCTGGACAAGGCAACCTTGTTGCTGACATATCACATATTTTAAACCCCTTAATGAGTTTTTATCCCCTGCCTGGCCAGAATGGCCGAAGGGGGATTATGTTGTGGCGCAGTCCGTCCGTCCCTCTGTCTGTCCGTCCCACAGAGGGAACTAAGCTTGTGAAATCAACTCCTCCTACAGTTTCCAGAGAATATCCCTGAAACTCTACACACAAGATGTCTACATGTTGATGATACGCATATCGCAGTCCCGTTTCATTTCGCCTATTTTTGACAGAGTTACTGCCCCTGTTTTACAGAACTTCATTTGCCTCATTGTGAGAGAGGGTACTAAGCTTGTGAAATCAACTCCTCCTACAGTTTTCAGAGAATATCCCTGACACTCTACACACAAGATGTCTACATGTTGATGATACGCCTATCGCAGTCCTGTTTCATTTCGACTAATTTTGACAGAGTTACTGCCCCTGTTTTATGGAGCTTCATTTGCCTAATTGTGAGAGAGGTACTAAGCATGTGAAATCAACTCCTCCTCCAGCTTTTAGAGAATATCTCTGACACTCTATACACAAGATGTTGACATGTTGATGATACACATATCGCAGTCACGTTTCATTTCGACTAATTTTGACAGAGTTACTGCCCTTGTTTTACGGAGCTTCATTTGCCTCATTGTGAGAGAGGGTACTAAGCTTGTGAAATCAACTCCTCCTACAGTTTTCAGAGAATATCCCTGACACTCTACACACAAGATGTCTACATGTTGATGATACGCATATCGCAGTCCCGTTTCATTTTTGACTAATTTTGACAGAGTTACTGCCCCTGTTTTATGGAGCTTCATTTGCCTCATTGTGAGAGAGGGTACTAAGCTTGTGAAATCAACTCCTCCTACAGTTTTCAGAGAATATCCCTGACACTCTACACACAAGATGTCTACATGTTGATGATACGCATATCGCAGTCCCGTTTCATTTCGACTAATTTTGACAGAGTTACTGCCCCTGTTTTACGGAGCTTCGTGAAATCTACTGCTCCAGTTTCCAGAGAATATCACAATATCTAACTGTAACTATAACTATAGTTAGTTTCCTTGTATAAGGCTTTTGTGGGTGAGCTACATCCTTATGGCATTAGCATTCAGACTGGATTACTCCCAACAAAATGTTCTGCACAATTGTTTCAAATGCAGTGCCATCTACTGTTGTTATTTCATAAAGTACAAAGAAAATATAAACTCATTAAAAAAATTCATGCGGGGGATGTTGTGCTCTCAGAGCACTCTTGTCTTATCTTGAGTTAATCTGCTTTGATATCATACACTATTCAGGCTGCAGCCACGTCTGTGATTGAGATGGGTGCGGTGGACCCGGAGAGGCTGCTGGTATTTGGTGGTTCACATGGAGGCTTCCTCACAACACATCTGATAGGCCAGTATCCGGTACGTAGATGTATACTAGCTTCCTCACAATACATCTGATAGGCCAGTATCCGGTACGTAGATGTATACTAGCTTCCTCACAATACATCTGATAGGCCAGTATCCGGTACGTAGATGTATACTAGCTTCCTCACAACACATCTGATAGGCCAGTATCCGGTACGTAGATGTATACTAGCTTCCTCACAACACATCTGATAGGCCAGTATCCGGTACGTAGATGTATACTAGCTTCCTCACAACACATCTAATAGGCCAGTATCCGGTACGTAGATGTATACTAGCTTCCTCACAACACATCTGATAGGCCAGTATCCGGTACGTAGATGTATACTAGCTTCCTCACAACACATCTGATAGGCCAGTATCCGGTACGTAGATGTATACTAGCTTCCTCACAATACATCTGATAGGCCAGTATCTGATACGTAGATGTATACTAGCTTCCTCACATTACATCTGATAGGCCAGTATCTGGTATGTAGATGTATACTAGCTTCCTCAGAACACATCTGATAGGCCAGTATCCGGTATGTAGATGTATACTAGCTTCCTCACAACACATCTGATAGGCCAGTATCCAGTATGTAGATGTATACTAGCTTCCTCACAACACATCTGATATGCCAGTATCCGTTGCGTAGATTTATACTAGCTTCCTCACAACACATCTGATAGGCCAGTATCCGGTACGTAGATGTATACTAGCTTCCTCACAACACATCTGATAGGCCAGTATCGGGTACGTAGATGTATACTAGCTTCCTCACAACACATCTGATAGGCCAGTATCCGGTACGTAGATGTATACTAGCTTCCTCACAATACATCTGATAGGCCAGTATCTGGTATGTAGATGTATACTAGCTTCCTCACAACACATCTGATAGGCCAGTATCCGGTATGTAGATGTATACTAGCTTCCTCACAACACATCTGATAGGCCAGTATCCAGTATGTAGATGTATACTAGCTTCCTCACAACACATCTGATATGCCAGTAGCCGTTGCGTAGATTTATACTAGCTTCCTCACAACACATCTGATAGGCCAGTATCCGGTACGTAGATGTATACTAGCTTCCTCACAACACATCTGATAGGCCAGTATCCGGTACGTAGATGTATACCAGCTTCCTCACAACACATCTGATAGGCCAGTATTCGGTATGTAGATGTATACTAGCTTCCTCAGAACACATCTGATAGGCCAGTATCCAGTACGTAGATGTATACTAGTTTCCTCACAACACATCTGATAGGCCAGTATCTGGTACGTAGATGTATACTAGCTTCCTCACAACACATCTGATAGGCCAGTATCTGGTATGTAGATGTATACTAGCTTCCTCAGAACACATCTGATATGCCAGTATCCCTTGCGTAGATTTATACTAGCTTCCTCACAATACATCTGATTGGCCAGTATCCGGTACGTAGATGTATACTAGCTCCCTTACAACTCATCTGATAGGCCAGTATCTGATACGTAGATGTATACTAGCTTCCTCACAACACATCTGATAGGCCAGTGTCCGGTATGTAGATGTATACTAGCTTCCTCACAACACATCTGATAGGCCAGTATCCGGTACGTAGATGTATACTAGCTTCCTCACAACACATCTGATAGGCCAGTATCGGGTACGTAGATGTATACTAGCTTCCTCACAACACATCTGATAGGCCAGTATCCGGTACGTAGATGTATACTAGCTTCCTCACAATACATCTGATAGGCCAGTATCTGGTATGTAGATGTATACTAGCTTCCTCACAACACATCTGATAGGCCAGTATCCGGTATGTAGATGTATACTAGCTTCCTCACAACACATCTGATAGGCCAGTATCCAGTATGTAGATGTATACTAGCTTCCTCACAACACATCTGATATGCCAGTATCCGTTGCGTAGATTTATACTAGCTTCCTCACAACACATCTGATAGGCCAGTATCCGGTACGTAGATGTATACTAGCTTCCTCACAACACATCTGATAGGCCAGTATCCGGTACGTAGATGTATACCAGCTTCCTCACAACACATCTGATAGGCCAGTATTCGGTATGTAGATGTATACTAGCTTCCTCAGAACACATCTGATAGGCCAGTATCCAGTACGTAGATGTATACTAGTTTCCTCACAACACATCTGATAGGCCAGTATCTGGTACGTAGATGTATACTAGCTTCCTCACAACACATCTGATAGGCCAGTATCTGGTATGTAGATGTATACTAGCTTCCTCAGAACACATCTGATATGCCAGTATCCCTTGCGTAGATTTATACTAGCTTCCTCACAATACATCTGATTGGCCAGTATCCGGTACGTAGATGTATACTAGCTCCCTTACAACTCATCTGATAGGCCAGTATCTGATACGTAGATGTATACTAGCTTCCTCACAACACATCTGATAGGCCAGTGTCCGGTATGTAGATGTATACTAGCTTCCTCAGAACACATCTGATATGCCAGTATCCCTTGCGTAGATTTATACTAGCTCCCTCACAACACATCTGATAGGCCAGTATCTGATACGTAGATGTATACTAGTGTCAAAGCTGGACAAAGACGTTCTCTGGGTCCATGTATTTTATTAATACTGAAGATGGTAGACCTAAACAATAATATACAAACTTTTAATATACTTGGTAACATCATGTATAGCCTTTCATAGATGATAATGGTGTATCGTATCTGCATATTACACATGCATATAATAATCATATATGGCTGAAAGTATCAGTTATCATACATTTATATTTCATCATAGTAATACACACAGTGTAGTTCTTTTCAATGAACTCAATGCATAAAAGTACAATATAAACATTTGCATGGTAGAAAGTATCTTTTACATACAATGTCAAATGTACCAATAGCACTCACAGTAACTTCCAGTAAACTAACAGATCCAGTGGGTCTGAACACCTTTATAACAGTTTATATACTAAATAATCTAACTAATTACAAAGTAACTAACATAAAGAAAGTATAGACAAACAAATGACAATGTACCCGTTGAGGTTTATAGACCTACCCCCAACTACCTCTGTTACATCTGTAAACGACCGGAATGGGCTTCCAGGCCTAGTAGGACGTAACTACAATACAACATGCAAAACTGACAATTCCATTCAAATACAGTCTTAGTATTTAACAACTTATCAATGCCTAATTCTATAAACCACTCTGAGATTCGAGCCTTATTTAAGTCCCTCGCTTGCACGTGGCATTGAAACGTTAACAAAACGGAACAAAAGAAAAACAATGGAGTAGAAGTGTATAATTACAGTACAAGGGAAATTCGCGTCTCATGCAGTACAGCATGACCAACGGGAGATAACTGCTTATGGGATAGGTAGCTATAACAGTAGTCACTACAACTAAAACCCGTACTTAATTTGTTAATCTCATTACACAATTTAAATATTATGCACTTCTTTGTGCTCACACAACCATTGAGAAAAGAAATGTTGACTAGGTTACAATTCTACTACTACTATGCTGATGAAAATATGTGTAAGCAATGAAACAGCCTCTCCACGGCGTTCCTATACTGACTATAGTACAGTGGCTGCTACAAGATGGTAATTCGATACTTAACACAGTTTCTACAAAATTAAACTTTGCCACTAAAACCATCACAGACAAATGTACTTCTATAGCATCAAACAACAATATATCTGCTAAAGGGGTGTACTTACTCATTGATAAGATAGCTAATTAGAGCTTGTCCAAAACAATGTGCTCTGTGTTGAAACAATGTGCTCGGCTGGCTGGCTAAAACAATGGAATTGGCCTGAGCGCGAGATGGAGTGGTAAGCACAGCATTTTGGGATATCCCACAGTAATTAACTAAGGCCAGATACGTATTTGTGAACTTGTAGGAAATAAACAAATCTTAAAAGGATATGGTTACATTAATGTGACATATAAAATAACTTCTTAATCAGGAATGTTTACAAACATTCCCGAGCACAGTCGGAAACTGCCGAAGATGATGTAAGCAAAAGTGCGTGTCTGATAGCTACTTTACACTAGCTTCCTCACAACACATCTGATAGGCCAGTATCCAGTACGTGGATGTATACTAGCTTCCTTACAACACATCTGATAGGCCAGTATCCAGTACGTGGATGTATACTAGCTTCCTTACAACACATCTGATAGGCCAGTATCTGATATGTAGATGTATACTAGCTTCCTCACAATACATCTGATAGGCCAGTCTCTCATATGTAGATGTATACTAGCTTCCTTACAACACATCTGATAGGCCAGTATCTGATACGTAGATGTATACCAGCTTCCTCACAATGCATCTGATAGGCCAGTATCCGGTACTTAGATGTATACCAGCTTCCTCACAATGCATCTTATAGGCCAGTATCCGGTATGTAGATGTATACTAGCTTCCTCACAACACATCTGATAGGCCAGTATCCGGTCTGTAGATGTATACTAGCTTCCTCAGAACACATCTGATATGCCAGTATCCGTTGCAGAGATTTATACTAGCTTCCTCACAACACATCTGATAGGCCAGTATCTGATACGTAGATGTATACTAGCCTCCTCACAACACATCTGATAGGCCAGTATCCGGTATGTAGATGTATACTAGCTTCCTCACAACACATCTAATAGGCCAGTATCCGGTATGTAGATGTATACTAGCTTCCTCACAACACATCTGATAGGCCAGTATCCAGTATGTAGATGTATACTAGCTTCCTCACAACACATCTAATAGGCCAGTATCCAGTACGTAGATGTATACTAGCTTCCTCACAACACATCTAATAGGCCAGTATCCAGTACGTAGATGTATACTAGCTTCCTCACAACACATCTGATAGGCCAGTATCTGATACATAGATGTATACTAGCTTCTTCACAACACATCTGATAGGCCAGTATCTGATACGTAGATGTATACTAGCTTCCTCACAACACATCTAATAGGCCAATATCCAGTACGTAGATGTATACTAGCTTCCTCACAACACATCTAATAGGCCAGTATCCAGTACGTAGATGTATACTAGCTTCCTCACAACACATCTGATAGACCAGTATCCAGTATGTAGATGTATACTAGCTTCCTCACAACACATCTAATAGGCCAGTATCCAGTACGTAGATGTATACTAGCTTCCTCACAACACATCTAATAGGCCAGTATCTGATACGTAGATGTATACCAGCTTCCTCACAATGCATCTAATAGGCCAGTATCCGGTATGTAGATGTATACTAGCTTCTTCAGAACACATCTGATAGGCCAGTATCCGTTACGTAGATGTATACTAGCTTCCTCACAACACATCTGATTGGCCAGTATCCGGTACTTAGATGTATACCAGCTTCCTCAGTAGGTTTGATAGGTCTGTGTCCTGTTTGTTTGTTTGTTGGTTGGTTGGTTAACGTCGCAGCAATATTCCAGCTATATATAACAGCTGCTATAATCAAGTCTGGACCAGACAATCCACTGATTGACGTCATGAGCATCAATCTACGCAATTGGGATATGATGACATGCATCAACCTAGTCAGCGAGTCTGACCAACCAAAAGCAATAGTCACCGATGACGACAAACATAGGAGCCATTTACAGCAAGCATGGGTTGCTGAAGACCTGTTCTCTGCTAGGATGTTCAGGGGTCTGTCCTGTTTGTAGATATATATGCAAGTGAATATTATGCAGACCAAGCTCCACAGCCATACAGTAATTTCTTCAATAACATGAAATGGTTAAAGGAATTGAGGAATAAAGGATTATTTTGCAGACAAAATTCAAGAGTGCAGCATGCAGAAATCCTGTGACAGATTTAACCAGTGAGTGATTAACTGTATTGCATTTTTTGAAGTCATATCCTGTAATAATGTTTTTGACAAAGCTTATTTGTATTGTATGGAATACCGAAACTGAAACTGATTATTTAAATCTATGGCAGTAGTTACTTGACAACCCTTTTAATTGCTTTTTCTGCTTCCATGCATTTGCTGATATAATTGAGTTCTTGGCAACAATTTGAAGAAATATGATTTAATGTAATTTTTAGTTTAAACATATTTTGATCACATGTTATGAAAACAACTGGGCACAAGTTATTACATCCCTTGCCTTCTCCCATAACTTTTCAGAATGTACCTGTGTTTTTTTGTATTTGCGGTATCCTAGGGGAAGATTAGATCAATGTCATGTATAAATATTATAAAAGATACATGGGTACAATGTGTGAAGCCCATTCCCGGTGTCCCCCGCTGTGATATTGCTGGAATATTGCTAAAAGCGGCGTAAAACCAAACTCACTCACTCACTCACAAAAGATACATAGAAGCTTGGGATAAAAGAAAAGTAAGAAGGGTTGATCATTAAAAATATTTTCCAGACCCATATTATGCCCAGTCTGGAATCAATGCAGTGGCAAACAGGGCCATTAACCTAGTAATGATGCCTGCATCACAAGTGTTGACCTAGTTATAGTGCCATGCATCAAGGGAGTTAACCTAGTTCTGGTTTATGCATCAGAGGAGTTAACCCAGATATGATGCCCACAAAAGGGGAGTTAACCTAGTTATGATGTCTTCATCAGGATGTTAACCCAGATATGATGCCTGCATCTGGGGAGTTAACCTAGTTATGATGGCTGTGTCAAGGGAGGTAACCTAGTTATGATGGCTCAAGCTCCTTCCCAGCGTGTGACACCTTCGTTACACTCTCGGTAACATTGCTGCCACCAGTGTGGGCGCGGCCATTACAAGAATCTTGAAATTTGCCCTCCAACCCCATATGTAGTAACGTTTATACTTTTGTTTATGTCTTTGGGAATGCCATCATATTTCAATTTGAAAAGGTTTACCACTGACCATGTTTTCCAGATGAATTTACTTTGTTGTTTTGATAATCAGATTGCTTCGAGATTGCAGACTAACAAAAAATCAACCAACTTCTCCCTTACATTCTTACTATATCAATAACACGATAGTTTTAATGAAACAGAAATTCAAATTGACAAACGAAGAAAGTAATTTAGAAGCGATAAGTGTATTCGGCGTCACAACAGTTGTCACTTGTTTGTAAACAAACAGTCATTCGGTTGCGAATTCAACTCCAAGCATGGTTGTGGCCACCTATTCACAGTGGGGAGTTTTGACTGGTGGCAGCGATAGTATAGAGAGCTCCGGGAACGTACTATCGCTGAGAGGAGCTTGATGATGGCTGTGTCAAGGGAGGTAACCTAGTTAATGCATACATCAGGGGAGTTAACCCAGTTAGGCTACTGTGAAAAGGGTGGTTGTTGAGGAATGTAACATGTGTTTCAGACAAAGCTGCCTGTGGCGACCTGGCAGACAAGTGAGTTCCGTATCACCTTGTCTGTGTCACACCCACCAGAGCTACATTTAGTGATATGCTGATCACCATGAATAACAGACGGCTTTTACTATTGATAATAACAGTACCAGCTGTTCAGTATACCTCTTGAGCGCTCTTGGTTGGTGTATGTGAGTAATGGTAGTTAGGGCTGGGACGGGTAACTCGGGTCCTGCAGTGGGTACCAGGGTAGGGTCAGGTAATGGAGGGTCTGATACCCAGGTAGTAAATGTGGGGTCATCCCGGCCCTAATGGTGGTATCAGTGGGACCTGTAATGATCAAGGCATTGTCCAGCAGTACCAAAGGTATGTGTTCAATTTACCACATTGGTACATTTTGGGAGGCCATTTATTGTGATCGCCACCACATACATGGTTTGTTCAAGCAACGCAGTGAAACTTGTACTGTAGATCAATTTTTTGCAGATGTCCACTCAAATTATATGGTGAGGAATTTTCCAATGATATCTATGACAGCTGTCAGTATTGAATGTAGCTCTGGTGGTGGTAAGACCTTGTGTGGGTATTACTCAGATAGTTGACCAGTTCTGCTTGTGTTTCAGCTATGTATGGAGTGACTGATATTCCAGACTGGTAAGAAAGCTTCTTGTCAAGCCATTGTGCTGATGAAATCTTATAGTTACCTGAACAATTACACTTTTTTTGTTTTCTTATTTCATTTATTGCAAAGCTTTAGACATATTTCCAAACATATAACCAATATCATCAATGCCATTGTTATTAAACAATCAGTAGGATTCCAGGATATTCCATATGCCAGTTGTAAGGGGGTATCACTAGTCAGTAGGATGTGTTATAACCTGGCTTCCTAACCTCACAGCTGGGTCAGTGTTATCTCACTTCACAGCTAGATCAGTGTTATCTCACTTCACAGCTAGATCAGTGTTATCTCACCTCACAGCTGGGTCAGTGTTATCTCACTTCACAGCTAGATCAGTGTTATCTCACTTCACAGCTAGATCAGTGTTATCTCACCTCACAGCTGGGTCAGTGTTATCTCACTTCACAGCTAGATCAGTGTTATCTCACTTCACAGCTAGATCAGTGTTATCTCACTTCACAGCTAGATCAGTGTTATCTCAATTCACAGCTAGATCAGTGTTATCTCACTTCACAGCTAGATCAGTGTTATCTCACTTCACAGCTAGATCAGTGTTATCTCACCTCACAGCTAGATCAGTGTTATCTCACTTCACAGCTAGATCAGTGTTATCTCACTTCACAGCTAGATCAGTGTTATCTCACTTCACAGCTAGATCAGTGTTATCTCACTTAACAGCTAGATCAGTGTTATCTCACCTCACAGCTAGATCAGTGTTATCTCACTTCACAGCTAGATCAGTGTTATCTCACTTCACAGCTAGATCAGTGTTATCTCACTTCACAGCTGGATCAGTGTTATCTCACCTCACAGCTAGATCAGTGTTATCTCACTTCACAGCTAGATCAGTGTTATCTCACTTCACAGCTAGATCAGTGTTATCTCACTTCACAGCTAGATCAGTGTTATCTCACTTCACAGCTAGATCAGTGTTATCTCACTTCACAGCTAGATCAGTGTTATCTCACCTCACAGCTAGATCAGTGTTATCTCACTTCACAGCTAGATCAGTGTTATCTCACTTCACAGCTAGATCAGTGTTATCTCACTTCACAGCTAGATCAGTGTTATCTCACTTCACAGCTGGATCAGTTTTATCTCACCTCACAGCTGGATCAGTGTTATCTCACCTCACAGCTGGATCAGTGTTATCTCACCTCACAGCTGGGTCAGTGTTGTTATCTCATCTCACAGCTGGGTCAGTGTTATCTCACCCTCACAGCTGGGTCAGTGTCATCTCACCTCACAGCTGGTCAATGTTATCTTACCTCAGAGCTGGGTCAGTTTTATCACAGTTGGATCAGTGTTATCTCACCTCACAGCTGGATCAGTTTTATCTCACATGACAGCTGGGTCAGTGTTATCTCACCCTCACAACTGGGTCAGAGTAATCTCACCTGACAGCTGGATCAAAGTTATCTCACCCTCACAGCTGGGTCAGTGTTATCTCACCTCACAGCTGGGTCAGTGTTATCTCACCTCACAGCTGGGTCAGTGTTATCTCACCTCACAACATGGTCAGTGTTATCTCACCTCACAGCTGGGTCAGTGTCATCTCACCTCACAGCTGGGTCAATGTTATCTTACCTTAGAGCTGGGTCAGTTTTATCACAGCTGGATCAGTGTTATCATACCCTCACAGCTGGGTCAGTGTCATCTCACCTCACAGCTGGGTCAATGTTAACATACCTCAGAGCTGGGTCAGTTTTATCACAGTTGGATCAGTGTTATCTCACCTCACAGCTGGATCAGTTTTATCTCACATGACAGCTGGGTCAGTGTTATCTCACCTCAGAGCTGGGTCAGTGTTATCTCACCTCACAACATGGTCAGTGTTATCTCACCTCACAGCTGGGTCAGTGTCATCTCACCTCACAGCTGGGTCAATGTTATCTTACCTTAGAGCTGGGTCAGTTTTATCACAGCTGGATCAGTGTTATCATACCCTCACAGCTGGGTCAGTGTCATCTCACCTCACAGCTGGGTCAATGTTAACATACCTCAGAGCTGGGTCAGTTTTATCACAGCTGGATCAGTGTTATCTCACCTCAGAGCTGGGTCAGTGTTATCTCACACTCACAACTGGGTCAGTGTTATCTCACCTCAGAGCTGGGTCAGTGTTATCCCACCTCACAACATGGTCAGTGTTATCTCACACTCACAGCTGGGTCAGTGTTATCTCACCTCACAGCTGGGTCAGTGTTATCTCACACTCACAGCTGGGTCAGTTTTATCACAGCTGGGTCAGTGTTATCTCACTCTTACCGCTGGGTCAGTTTTATCGCACCTCAGAGCTGGGTCAGTATTATCTCCTCAGAGCTTGGTCTGTTTTATCTCACCCACACAGGTGGGACAATGTTATCTCACCTTACAGCTGGATCAGTGTTATCTCACCTCAGAGCTCGATAAGTGTTATCTCACCGCACAGGTGGGTGGGTCAGTGTTATCTCACCTCACAGCTGGATCAGTGTTATCTCACCTCACAGCTGGGTCAGTGTTATCTCACTCTCACAGCAGGGTCAGTGTTATCCCACCCTCACAGTTGGATCAGTGATATCTCATCCTCACAGCAGGGTCAGTGTTATCTCACCTCACAGCTGGGTCAGTGTTATCGCACCTAACAGTTGGGTCAATGTTAACGTACCTCAGAGCTGGGTCAGTTTGATCACAGTTGGATCAGTGTTATCTCACCTCAGAGCTGGGTCAGTGTTATCTCACACTCAAAACTGGGTCAGTGTTATTTCACCTCAGAGCTGGGTCAGTGTTATCTCACCTCACAGCAGTGTCAGTGTTATCTCACACTCACAGCTGGGTCAGTGTTATCTCACACTCACAGCTGGGTCAGTGTTATCTCACCTCACAGCTGGGTCAGTGTTATCTCACTCTCACCACTGGATCAGTGTTACCTCACACTCAGAGCTGGGTCAGTGTTATCTCACACTCACAACTGGGTCAGTGTTATCTTACCTCACAGCTGGATCAGTGTTATCTCCTCAGAGCTGGGTCAGTATTATCTCCTCAGAGCTTGGTCCGTTTTATCTCACCCACACAGGTGGGTCAATGTTATCTCACCTTACAGCTTGGTCAGTTTTATCCCACACTCACAGCTGGATAAGTGTTATCTCACCTCACAGCTGGATAAGTGTTATCTCACCTCACAGGTGGGTCAGTGTTATCTCTCCTCACAGCTGGGTCAGTGTTATCTCACCTCACAGCTGGGTCAGTTTTATCCCAACTCATAGCTAGGTCAGTGTTATCTCACCTCACAGCTGAATCAGGGTTGTCTCACCCTCACAGCTGGATAAGTGTTATCATACCCTCACAGCAGGGTCAATGTTATCTCACCTCACAGCAGGGTCAGTGTTATCTCTCCTCACACCTGGATCAGTGTTATCTCACCTCACAGGTGGGTCAGTGTTATCTCACTCTCACAGCAGGGTCAGTGTTATCTCACCTCACAGCTGGGTCAGTGTTATCTCACCTAACAGCTTGTTTGTTTGTTTCGTGTTTAATACCACACACAATTCCAGCTATATGACGGTGGTCTGTAAATGATCGAATCTGGACCAAACAATCCAGTGATTGACATTGTGAGCATCAATCCATGCAATTGGAATATGATGACATGCATCAAACCAAGTCAGCGAGTCTGACCACCCGATCCCTTGAGTCACCTCTTACAACAAGCATAGTTGCCTTTTACGGCAAGCATGGGTTGCTGGAGACCTGTTCTACCCTGGATCTTCACGGGTCCACCTCACAGCTGGGTCAGTGTTATTCAGCCTCACTGCTGAGGTATTGCAATTGATATCCTATTTGCCTATTCTGTGCAAAATTTCTTTTCACATGCAGGGTGTTTGAAGAGATAGGACAACAGTTTGAGTTCACATCACTGTCCAGTGCTGAGATCCTAGGGGAACTATGGACGAGATCTCCCCTCAGCTATGTCAGCCAGGTATGGTGTGCTTCCCTCAGTTACATCAGCCAGGTACACAGTGTGTCTCCCCTCAGTTACATCAGCCAGGTACACAGTGTGTCTCCCCTCAGTTACATCAGCCAGGTACACAGTGTGTCTCCCCTCAGTTACAACAACCAGGCACACAGTGTGTCCCCCGCTCAGTTACATCAGCCAGGCACACAGTGTGTCTCCCCTCAGATACATCAGCCAGGTACACAGTGTGTCTCCCCTCAGTTACATGAGCCAGGTACTGTGTGTCTCCCCTCAGTTACATCAGCCAGGCACACAGTGTGTCTCCCCTCAGTTACATCAGCCAGGTACACAGTGTGTCTCCCCTCAGTTACATCAGCCAGGTACTGTGTGTCTCCCCTCAGTTACATCAGCCAGGTACACAGTGTGTCTCCCCTCAGTTACATCAGCCAGGTACACAGTGTGTCTCCCCTCAGTTACAACAACCAGGCACACAGTGTGTCCCCCGCTCAGTTACATCAGCCAGGCACACAGTGTGTCTCCCCTCAGATACATCAGCCAGGTACACAGTGTGTCTCCCCTCAGTTACATGAGCCAGGTACTGTGTGTCTCCCCTCAGTTACATCAGCCAGGCACACAGTGTGTCTCCCCTCAGTTACATCAGCCAGGTACACAGTGTGTCTCCCCTCAGTTACATCAGCCAGGTTCACAGTGTGTCTCCCCTCAGTTACATCAGCCAGGTACTGTGTGTCTCCCCTCAGTTACATCAGCCAGGTACACAGTGTGTCTCCCCTCAGTTACATGAGCCATGTACACAGTGTGTCTCCCCTCAGTTACATCAGCCAGGTACTGTGTGTCTCCCCTCAGTTACATCAGCCAGGTACACAGTGTGTCTCCCCTCAGTTACATGAGCCATGTACACAGTGTGTCTCCCCTCAGTTACATCAGCCAGGTACTGTGTGTCTCCCCTCAGTTACATCAGCCAGGTACACAGTGTGTCTCCCCTCAGTTACATCAGCCAGGTATACAGTGTGTCTCCCCTCAGTTACATCAGCCAGGTACACTGTGTGTCTCCCCTCAGTTACATCAGCCAGGTACACGTGTGTCTCCCCTCAGTTACATCAGCCAGGTGCACAGTGTGTCTCCCCTCAGTTACATCAGCCAGGTACACACTGTGTCTCCCCTCAGTTACATCAACCAGGTACACACTGTGTCTCCCCCCAGTTACAACAACCAGGTACACAGTGTGTCTCCCCTCAGTTACATCAGCCAGGTACACAGTGTGTCTCCCCTCAGTTACATCAACCAGGTACACACTGTGTCTCCCCTCAGTTACATCAGCCAGGTACACAGTGTGTCTCCCCCCAGTTACATCAGCCAGGTACACAGTGTGTCTCCCCCCAGTTACAACAACCAGGTACACAGTGTGTCTCCCCCCAGTTACATCAGCCAGGTACACAGTGTGTCTCCCCTCAGTTACATCAGCCAGGTACACAGTGTGTCTCCCCTCAGTTACATCAGCCAGGTACACAGTGTGTCTCCCCTCAGTTACATCAGCCAGGTACACAGTGTGTCTCCCCTCAGTTACAACAACCAGGTACACAGTGTGTCTCCCCTCAGTTACATCAGCCAGGTACACAGTGTGTCTCCCCTCAGTTACATCAGCCAGGCACACAGTGTGTCTCCCCCCAGTTACATCAGCCAGGTACACAGTGTGTCTCCCCTCAGTTACATCAACCAGGTACACAGTGTGTCTCCCCTCAGTTACATGAGCCAGGTACTGTGTGTCTCCCCTCAGTTACATCAGCCAGGTACACAGTGTGTCTCCCCTCAGTTACATCAGCCAGGTACACACTGTGTCTCCCCTCAGTTACATCAGCCAGGTACACAGTGTGTCTCCCCTCAGTTACATCAGCCAGGTACACAGTGTGTCTCCCCTCAGTTACATCAACCAGGTACACACTGTGTCTCCCCTCAGTTACATCAGCCAGGTACACAGTGTGTCTCCCCCAGTTACATCAGCCAGGTACACAGTGTGTCTCCCCCCAGTTACAACAACCAGGTACACAGTGTGTCTCCCCTCAGTTACATCAGCCAGGCACACAGTGTGTCTCCCCCCAGTTACATCAGCCAGGTACACAGTGTGTCTCCCCTCAGTTACATCAACCAGGTACACAGTGTGTCTCCCCTCAGTTACATCAGCCAGGTACTGTGTGTCTCCCCTCAGTTACATCAGCCAGGTACACAGTGTGTCTCCCCTCAGTTACATCAGCCAGGTACACAGTGTGTCTCCCCTCAGTTACATCAGCCAGGTACACAGTGTGTCTCCCCCCAGTTACATCAGCCAGGTACACAGTGTGTCTCCCCCCAGTTACATCAGCCAGGTACACAGTGTGTCTCCCCTCAGTTACATCAACCAGGTACACAGTGTGTCTCCCCTCAGTTACATCAGCCAGGTACTGTGTGTCTCCCCTCAGTTACATCAGCCAGGTACACATTGTGTCTCCCCTCAGTTACATCAGCCAGGCATACAGTGTGTCTCCCCTCAGTTACATCAGCCAGGTACACAGTGTGTCTCCCCTCAGTTACATCAACCAGGTACACAGTGTGTCTCCCCTCAGTTACATCAGCCAGGTACTGTGTGTCTCCCCTCAGTTACATCAGCCAGGTACACAGTGTGTCTCCCCTCAGTTACATCAGCCAGGTACACAGTGTGTCTCCCCTCAGTTACATCAGCCAGGTACACAGTTTGTCTCCCCTCAGTTACATCAGCCAGGCACACAGTGTGTCTCCCCTCAGTTACATCAGCCAGGTACACAGTGTGTCTCCCCTCAGTTACATCAGCCAGGTACACAGTGTGTCTCCCCTCAGTTACATCAGCCAGGCACACAGTGTGTCTCCCCTCAGTTACATCAGCCAGGTGCACAGTTTGTCTCCCCCCAGTTACATCAGCCAGGCACACAGTGTGTCTCCCCTCAGTTACATCAGCCAGGTACACAGTGTGTCTCCCCTCAGTTACATCAACCAGGTACACACTGTGTCTCCCCCCAGTTACATCAACCAGGTACACAGTGTGTCTCCCCTCAGTTACATCAGCCAGGTACACAGTGTGTCTCCCCCCAGTTACATCAGCCAGGTACACAGTGTGTCTCCCCCCAGTTACATCAGCCAGGCACACAGTGTGTCTCCCCTCAGTTACATGAGCCAGGTACTGTGTGTCTCCCCTCAGTTACATCAGCCAGGTACACAGTGTGTCTCCCCCCAGTTACATCAGCCAGGTACACAGTGTGTCTCCCCCCAGTTACAACAACCAGGTACACAGTGTGTCTCCCCTCAGTTACATGAGCCAGGTACTGTGTGTCTCCCCCCAGTTACATCAGCCAGGTACACAGTGTGTCTCCCCTCAGTTACATCAGCCAGGTACACTTTGTGTCTCCCCTCAGTTACATCAGCCAGGTACACAGTGTGTCTCCCCCCAGTTACATCAGCCAGGTACACTTTGTGTCTCCCCTCAGTTACATCAGCCAGGTACACAGTGTGTCTCCCCCCAGTTACATCAGCCAGGTACACTTTGTGTCTCCCCTCAGTTACATCAGCCAGGTACACAGTGTGTCTCCCCCCAGTTACATCAACCAGGTACACAGTGTGTCTCCCCTCAGTTACATCAGCCAGGTACACAGTGTGTCTCCCCTCAGTTACATCAGCCAGGTACACAGTGTGTCTCCCCTCAGTTACATCAGCCAGGTACACTTTGTGTCTCCCCTCAGTTACATCAGCCAGGTACACAGTGTGTCTCCCCTCAGTTACATCAACCAGGTACACGTGTGTCTCCCCTCAGTTACATCAGCCAGGCACACAGTGTGTCTCCCCCCAGTTACATCAGCCAGGTACACAGTGTGTCTCCCCTCAGTTACATCAGCCAGGCACACAGTGTGTCTCCCCCCAGTTACATCAGCCAGGTACACAGTGTGTCTCCCCTCAGTTACATCAGCCAGGTACACAGTGTGTCTCCCCCTAGTTACATCAGCCAGGCACACAGTGTGTCTCCCCTCAGTTACATCAGCCAGGTACACAGTGTGTCTCCCCTCAGTTACATCAACCAGGTACACTGTGTGTCTCCCCTCAGTTACATCAGCCAGGTACACAGTGTTTCTCCCCTCAGTTACATCAACCAGGTACACAGTGTGTCTCCCCTCAGTTACATCAGCCAGGTACACAATGTGTCTCCCCTCAGTTACATCAACCAGGTACACACTGTGTCTCCCCTCAGTTACATCAGCCAGGTACACAGTGTGTCTCCCCCCAGTTACATCAGCCAGGTACACAGTGTGTCTCCCCTCAGTTACATCATCCAGGTACACAGTGTGTCTCCCCTCAGTTACATCAGCCAGGTACACAGTGTGTCTCCCCTCAGTTACATCAGCCAGGTACACAATGTGTCTCCCCTCAGTTACATCAGCCAGGTACACAGTGTGTCTCCCCTCAGTTACATCAGCCAGGTACTGTGTGTCTCCCCTCAGTTACATCAGCCAGGTACACAGTGTGTCTCCCCTCAGTTACATCAGCCAGGTACACAGTGTGTCTCCCACCAGTTACAACAACCAGGTACACAGTGTGTCTCCCCTCAGTTACATCAGCCAGGTACACAGTGTGTCTCCCCTCAGTTACATCAGCCAGGTACACAGTGTGTCTCCCCTCAGTTACATCAGCCAGGTACACAGTGTGTCTCCCCTCAGTTACATCAGCCAGGTACACTGTGTGTCTCCCTTCAGTTACATCAACCAGGTACACGTGTGTCTCCCCTCAGTTAGATCAGCCAGGTTCACAGTGTGTCTCCCCTCAGTTACATCAGCCAGGTTCACAGTGTGTCTCCCCTCAGTTACATCAGCCAGGTACACTGTGTATCTCCCCTCAGTTTCATCAGCCAGGTACACAGTGTGTCTCCCCTCAGTTACATCAGCCAGGTACACAGTGTGTCTCCCCTCAGTTACATCAGCAAAGCACACTGTGTGTCTCCCCTCAGTTACATCAGCCAGGTACACAGTGTGTCCTTTTCTCTGTTGAGATGATACAAGTTGTTTTCTAAGAGTTACTACAATGTAATTGACATTACCACTTGAACAAGCCTACCTACCTATGTGTTTGTTTTGTATCTGAAAATAGTGTTTGTTTCCTTTCTTGGTACTGTTATATCAAAGCTAGATGACTCGTGTTATATCTTCCCAATATCATTTTAAGGGAATGATTTCAATGTCAAACTGGATTCCTTCTCCATGTGGAGAATACATTACACAATCATTGTTGCCATCTAAAGCCAATGGACATGTTTCCTTCTGCACAAGTGTAAGTGAGCCCCTGGTGAGTTGATTCAACATGTTGCAGGTGACAACCCCAATCCTGCTGATGATTGGTAATGACGACCTTCGCGTGCCCACCACTCAGGCTCGTCAGTACTACCGCTGTCTGAAAGCCAGGAACAGAACTGTCAGGTATGTCAAGGAGTATTATGTCGTTGCCTGCAGTCCGTAAACGTTTTATATTTTCAACACCAAATTCATTCAGCTCACAGTTTGTATGGTTGCCTGTATGAAAAAAGTTTTTTCAAGGCATCAAAATTGCAACTTCAATATGGCCTTAATGTAAATGGCCCTTGTGAAACGGCAGTAAACCAGACGCCTCCACACACAGCTCTGTAATACATCCCCTTGTGATACTGCAGTGAACCACACTCCTCACACAGCTCTGTAATACATCCCCTTGTGATACTGTAGTCAACCACACTCCTCCACACACAGCTCTGTAATACATCCCTTTGTGAAACTGTAGTGAACCATGCTCCACACACACAGCTCTGTAATACATCCCCTTGTGATACTGCAGTGAACCACACTCCTCCACACACAGCTCTTTAATACATCCCCTTGTGATACTGTAGTCAACCACACTGCGCCACACACAGCTCTGTAATACATCCCCTTGTGATACTGCAGTGAACCACACTCCTCCACACACAGCTCTGTAATACATCCCCTTGTGATACTGTAGTCAACCACACTGCGCCACACACAGCTCTGTAATACATCCCCTTGTGATACTGCAGTGAACCACACTCCTCCACACACAGCTCTGTAATACATCCCCTTGTGATACTGTAGTCAACCACACTCCACACACAGCTCTGTAATACATCCCCTTGTGATACTGTAGTCAACCACACTGCGCCACACACAGCTCTGTAATACATCCCCTTGTGATACTGCAGTGAACCACACTCCTCCACACACAGCTCTGTAATACATCCCCTTGTGATACTGCAGTGAACCACACTCCTCCACACACAGCTCTGTAATACATCCCCTTGCGATACTGCAGTGAACCACACTCCTCACCCGGCTCTGTAATACATCCCCTTGTGATACTGCAGTGAACCACACTGCGCCACACACAGCTCTGTAATACATCCCCTTGTGATACTGTAGTCAACCACACTGCGCCACACACAGCTCTGTAATACATCCCCTTGTGAAACTGCAGTGAACCACACTCCTCACACAGCTCTGTAATACATCCCCTTGTGATACTGTAGTCAACCACACTCCTCCACACACAGCTCTGTAATACATCCCTTTGTGAAACTGTAGTGAACCATGCTCCACACACACAGCTCTGTAATACATCCCCTTGTGATACTGCAGTGAACCACACTCCTCCACACACAGCTCTTTAATACATCCCCTTGTGATACTGTAGTCAACCACACTGCGCCACACACAGCTCTGTAATACATCCCCTTGTGATACTGCAGTGAACCACACTCCTCCACACACAGCTCTGTAATACATCCCCTTGTGATACTGCAGTGAACCACACTCCTCCACACACAGCTCTGTAATACATCCCCTTGTGATACTGTAGTCAACCTCACTGCGCCACACACAGCTCTGTAATACATCCCCTTGTGATACTGCAGTGAACCACACTCCTCCACACACAGCTCTGTAATACATCCCCTTGTGATACTGTAGTCAACCACACTCCACACACAGCTCTGTAATACATCCCCTTGTGATACTGTAGTCAACCACACTGCGCCACACACAGCTCTGTAATACATCCCCTTGTGATACTGCAGTGAACCACACTCCTCCACACACAGCTCTGTAATACATCCCCTTGTGATACTGTAGTCAACCACACTCCTCCACACACAGCTCTGTAATACATCCCCTTGTGATACTGTAGTCAACCACACTCCTCCACACACAGCTCTGTAATACATCCCCTTGTGATACTGCAGTGAACCACACTCCTCCACACACAGCTCTGTAATACATCCCCTTGTGATACTGCAGTGAACCACACTCCTCCACACACAGCTCTGTAATACATCCCCTTGTGATACTGTAGTCAACCACACTCCTCCACACACAGCTCTGTAATACATCCCCTTGTGATACTGTAGTCAACCACACTCCACACACAGCTCTGTAATACATCCCCTTGTGATACTGTAGTCAACCACACTGCGCCACACACAGCTCTGTAATACATCCCCTTGTGATACTGCAGTGAACCACACTCCTCCACACACAGCTCTGTAATACATCCCCTTGTGATACTGTAGTCAACCACACTCCACACACAGCTCTGTAATACATCCCCTTGTGATACTGTAGTCAACCACACTGCGCCACACACAGCTCTGTAATACATCCCCTTGTGATACTGCAGTGAACCACACTCCTCCACACACAGCTCTGTAATACATCCCCTTGTGATACTGCAGTGAACCACACTCCTCCACACACAGCTCTGTAATACATCCCCTTGTGATACTGCAGTGAACCACACTCCTCCACACACAGCTCTGTAATACATCCCCTTGCGATACTGCAGTGAACCACACTCCTCACCCGGCTCTGTAATACATCCCCTTGTGATACTGCAGTGAACCACACTGCGCCACACACAGCTCTGTAATACATCCCCTTGTGATACTGCAGTGAACCACACTCCTCCACACACAGCTCTGTAATACATCCCCTTGTGATACTGCAGTGAACCACACTCCTCCACACACAGCTCTGTAATACATCCCCTTGCGATACTGCAGTGAACCACACTCCTCACCCGGCTCTGTAATACATCCCCTTGTGATACTGCAGTGAACCACACTGCGCCACACACAGCTCTGTAATACATCCCCTTGTGATACTGTAGTCAACCACACTGCGCCACACACAGCTCTGTAATACATCCCCTTGTGATACTGTAGTCAACCACACTCCTCCACACACAGCTCTGTAATACATCCCCTTGTGATACTGCAGTGAACCACACTCCTCCACACACAGCTCTGTAATACATCCCCTTGTGATACTGCAGTGAACCACACTCCTCCACACACAGCTCTGTAATACATCCCCTTGTGATACTGTAGTGAACCATGCTCCACACACAGCTCTGTAATACATCCCCTTGTGATACTGCAGTGAACCACACTCCTCCACACACAGCTCTTTAATACATCCCCTTATGATACTGTAGTCAACCATGCTCCACACACACAGCTCTGTTATGCATTCCCTTGTGATACTGTAGTCAACCAAACTCCTCCACACACAGCTCTGTAATACATCCCCTTGTGATACTGCAGTGAACCACGCTCCTCCACACACAGCTCTGTAATACATCCCCTTGTGATACTGCAGTGAACCACACTCCTCACCCGGCTCTGTAATACATCCCCTTGTGATACTGTAGTCAACCACACTGCGCCACACACAGCTCTGTAATACATCCCCTTGTGATACTGTAGTCAACCACACTCCTCCACACACAGCTCTGTAATACATCCCCTTGTGATACTGTAGTCAACCACACTCCACACACACAGCTATGTAATACATCCCCTTGTGATACTGCAGTGAACCACACTCCTCCACACACAGCTCTGTAATACATCCCCTTGTGATACTGCAGTGAACCACACTCCCCACACAGCTCTGTAATACATCCCCTTGTGATGGTGCTTTGATCAATTGTTTTTGGTATGTGAATACCAAACTCAACATTTAACCCACTGATGTAGTTTCTAGGGTTGATATTTGTGGCATATGTGTGGTTATGTGGGTTGTTTGTAAGTGATCTGTTGCTTATGGCGCTGGTGATTTCAGATTCCTGGCATATGAAGACAACTCTCATCCCATCATCACTGTCCCTGCTGAGTCCGACGCCTTTGTCAACATCATGTTGTGGTTTGCTGAGCACATGGAGACATGAAGGGAAACTACCGGTTGCCATAAGCCATGTAGTCAGTCCTGATGCACCTTGTGATGTATCTGTACCCCAGTGTCATGTAATCAGTCCTGATGCATCTGTACCCCAGTGTCATGTAGTCAGTCCTGATGCACCTTGTGATGCATCTGTACCTCATTGCTATGTTATATGATGATGTTTACACAATCAATCAAATAAATCATTGGATAGGAATCTTTCTCAGTAATGTGTATCGAGCAATCTTCTGTTCACATGTTCTGTGAAAACTACAAAGGAATGCCACTTTAAAACTATCACTGTTCAATATTCAGGTGCACTGCATTCTAATTGTCAAGTTGTTTGTCAGCAGTATTCCAGCTATGTCATGTCCACTTGGTCCAGACAAACCAGTGAATGATATACTGTTCTCCCGGGTTGTATAGCCACCTTTCATCCAGCGGAAAATACGGCATTATAACCAGGGAGGTGAAAACCAGACCTTACTGACATGATATTTGCAGGAATTAAATAAGAACCAAGACACATCTATTCAATGCAAGCTATTTATTCAAACAAGACTTCGTCATATACTTTGCCTAACCTGGGGTCAAATGTGGACAATTGAGAAAGTTTGAAAAAAGACTTTGACATAAGTCAGCCTTGTGTCAATCAAGTGTGAGCAGTGCTCTAAATCCCTAGCGTGTGGATTGGCCAGTGCCTACCTTTGCGGGGTTTTAATATTGATACCAACTGTCCATGCAAAATGTCGTTTCCAGAACAGATCTTGAAAAACATACAATATTTCTTCACCAAACTTGGTACTTAGATAGGTCTAGTTGTGAATTGGTGCCTTTTGATGGCTTGGTTTTTTAAAAATAAAAAATATTTTTTGAGTATATCATAATAATAAATATTTACCATTTCACAGGATATAGATGACTTAATTTGTTTGCTATTTCAAGAAAGTGAATGGTTCTCTGAAAACAACTGAGATCAATGCGATAAGTTTGTTGATTTAGGAGAGGTAATTAACTTGTAAAGATACTACATTGGCAATTTTTTGCAGAAATGAAAAAAAATCGTAACAGCTTTATAACCAGGGGATTGGAATGATTGTTGTGAAAAGCATCATAACCAGGGCATTTTGCACTGCAGAAGTCCGTTCTGAGAAAAACATGGCATTATAACCAGAGAGGGCTATATATATATTATGAACCACGTGTCACGTTGTTGCGGTACAATGACACATAATTAACCAATCCTCCGACCCCCTGATCCATTTAGTCAACCCATAAGTCAAGCCTTGATTACCTGGGACCTATGCTGCCCTGGAATCTGTATTGTCATCATCCTGATTGAACAGAGCTAGGAAATAGGTCAAGGTATAAAAATGGTATATCTTTGACAGTTTGTTATCAATAAAGATGACGGAGTGACTTTCAGCCATACATTCAGTGCACAACAGTCACAATGCCAGAAAGTCTTACATGCATAGTTGCTGTTGATCAGAATGTTTGTTAGAAGGAACCTGTTTTATTGGGGCATTATTGCCTGGCTTTGCCATTCTTTTCATATCATTGGATATCCAAGAATGCCACTTCTAAATAGTAAAATCCATATTTCACCTTTGAGAAAGTCATTAGCTTCAGAGTGTATATGCACTCACATGGTTTTGTGTAAGTGCTGCTAACAACCAATGTATTTCCCCTGGTATGTGGGCAGTAACTGTGTGCAAGTGATTTAAGCTACTTTGTGTCAAGGGTAACAGGGAATTGAATTAATTGTCCTTGTTTCATTACATTCATGTCAGTGTGTGACAGATAGGTAACAAATAAACCTGTATTTAATTTGTTGAAATATATTTTCGTCATTCTTGATACACTAGTCCTTGTATTACAGCTGGTACAATGGAAACCAGCCATGATAGCACAATACTAAACTGTTATAAATCATACAACCAGCAGACTGTGGGAACAATCCACTGTCACAGATAAGGAGTGGGTGAGTGAATGATATTCATGTTGCTGTCGGCCTAACGAGACAAGCCAGTGAACGGTTGTGTAAAACGTCTATAGGTGACAATGACACACAATCTGCCATGTTAAAAATCCTAAATAATGCCATGTTTATACTGAGGTCTTACGAAAAGAAGATGGCCTCTGTGTACATTCAAGTCATTTAAAAATTTAAACACAAAGCAGCCAATATAAACAAAACAAATATAAATATGTGTTGTTCATTTTGAAATACCTGCCTGATTCTTGCCATCAGACACAAATATGGGTACGATATACTCTGATCTCTGAAATGACAACATTGACACTGGTAATAAGGTGTATCAATCGGTAACAAGAATGAACTGTCATGTGCAGTGGTATTGAATTAAATTACTCTGTCCTATATTGGCATCTCCGTGGTGCCAGGTTCTAATCCGGCCACGTGCAATGAGGTTGTTTCTCACAACTTATATAGTAGATTGAGCCAGGAACGCTGATTGTATTACTGTTTTGTTTTATTCTCAAAACCTTTTGGTTTTATGATGAAATGCCTCTGTGTTGTATTGAAATCAGATTGAGATGCAGAATTGAAAATTTTACAATAAATAGTATATTTATATATACTCTGCCAAAAATAGAAACGCAAAAGTAGTAAAATGGTAAATATACAAAGAGTATTCCTGAAACGCATAAATATGTGACTCTTCACTGAACCATCACAGTTGTGACCAGACTCTGACATTGACACAATTGACGTCACCGCTGATGATACAGGCCCTTCAAAATGACACCTTCAGTGCACAAACGGTTCCTCACAGTCTGGGCTGATATCCTATACAATCCTGGTATTGCTGCCACGGTAGAGGTGTCCGTGGTGGTTCTTTCACAAGAGTGACGAAGCCGTATGAATCTGTCCTGTGCACAAGTAGTGATACGTGATCTGGGAAAGTGATGCGTTGTCCAATGCGCCCGATACTTGCTGTAAAATTGTGATGGCAACGTTTTTTATAGCCCAACAAGTAATGTTGCACAGGCATGTGATGTGTTTTTTGTGATTTTGTCCAACTGAGCTGTCTGACCAGTTGTGTCTACTGGTTAGGGTATCTGCGCCCTTCCGTGGAACACATGCACAGTCTGAGACATGTATACTTATCCTATCTATAAACGCAACATGCCCTCCCTCCCCTCGCATCTCCTGTTAGCTCCGAGAAAGAGTTTGTTTTGTTGTTTGTTTGTTTGTTGTTTAACGCCACACTCATGACAGCGGTCTGTAAATAATCGAGTCTGGACCAGACAATCTAGTGATTGGAATCCTGAGCATCGATTCACACAATTTGGATATGATGACATGCTGCATGCTCCCGGGTAATGTGTGAGTACATCACTGATATTGCTTCAGGACCTTTTCACTCCCAGGTATTGTGTGTGTGTACATCACTGATATTACTTCAGGAGCTATACACTCCCAGGTATTGTGTGTGTGTACATCACTGATATTACTTCAGGAGCTATACACTCCCAGGTACTGTGTGTGTGTACATCACTGATATTACATCAGGACCTATACACTCCGAGGTATTGTGTGTGTACATCACTGATATTACTTCAGGAGCTATACACTCCCAGGTACTGTGTGTGTGTACATCACTGATATTACATCAGGAGCTATACACTCCCAGGTATTGTGTGTGTACATCACTGATATTGCTTCAGGAGCTATACACTCCCAGGCATTGTGTGTGTACATTATTGATATTACTTCAGCAGCTATACACTCCCAGGTATTGTGTGTGTACATCACTGATATTACTTCAGGAGCTATACACTCCCAGGTATTGTGTGTGTACATCACTGATATTACTTCAGGAGCTATACACTCCCAGGTATTGTGTGTGTGTACATCACTGATATTACTTCAGGAGCTATACAGTCCCAGGTATTGTGTGTGTACATCACTGATATTACATCAGAAGCTATACACTCCCAGGTTTTGTGTGTGTGTACATCACTGATATTACTTCAGGAGCTATACAGTCCCAGGTATTGTGTGTGTACATCACTGATATTACTTCAGGAGCTATACAGTCCCAGGTATTGTGTGTGTACATCACTGATATTACTTCAGGACCTATACACTCCCAGGTATTGTGTGTGTGTACATCACTGATATTACTTCAGGACCTATACACTCCCAGGTATCGTGTGAGTACATCACTGATATTACTTCAGGACCTATACACTCCCAGGTACTGTGTGTGTACATCACTGATATTACTTCAGGAGCTATACTCTCCGAGGTATTGTGTGTATACATCACTGATATTACTTGAGGTGCTGTACACTCCCAGGTATTGTGTGTGTGTACATCACTGATATTACTTCAGGAGCTATACACTCCGAGGTATTGTGTGTGTACATCACTGATATTACATCAGGAGCTATACACTCCCAGGTATTGTGTGTGTACATCACTGATATTACTTCAGGAGCTATACAGTCCCAGGTATTGTGTGTGTACATCACTGATATTACATCAGAAGCTATACACTCCCAGGTTTTGTGTGTGTGTACATCACTGATATTACTTCAGGAGCTATACAGTCCCAGGTATTGTGTGTGTACATCACTGATATTACTTCAGGAGCTATACAGTCCCAGGTATTGTGTGTGTACATCACTGATATTACATCAGAAGCCATACACTCCCAGGTTTTGTGTGTGTGTACATCACTGATATTACTTCAGGAGCTATACAGTCCCAGGTATTGTGTGTGTACATCACTGATATTACTTCAGGAGCTATACTCTCCGAGGTATTGTGTGTATACATCACTGATATTGCTTCAGGACCTATACACTCCCAGGTATTGTGTGTGTACATCACTGATATTACTTGAAGTGCTGTACACTCCCAGGTATTGTGTGTGTGTACATCACTGATATTACTTCAGGAGCTATACAGTCCCAGGTATTGTGTGTGTACATCACTGATATTACTTCAGGAGCTATACAGTCCCAGGTATTGTGTGTGTACATCACTGATATTACTTCAGGACCTATACACTCCCAGGTATTGTGTGTGTGTACATCACTGATATTACTTCAGGACCTATACACTCCCAGGTATCGTGTGAGTACATCACTGATATTACTTCAGGACCTATACAATCCCAGGTATTGTGTGTGTACATCACTGATATTACTTAAAGACCTTTACAGTCCCAGGTATTGTGTGTGTACATCACTGATATTACCTCAGGACCTATACACTCCCAGGTATTGTGTGTGTACATCACTGATATTACTTCAGGAGCTATACACTCCCAGGTATTGTGTGTGTCCATCACTGATATTACATCAGGAGCTATACACTCCCAGGTATTGTGTGTGTCCATCACTGATATTACTTCAGGACCTATACATTCCCAGGTATTGTGTGTGTACATCACTGATATTACTTCAGGAGCTATACTCTCTGAGGTATTGTGTGTGTCCATCACTGATATTACTTCAGGACCTATACACTCCCAGGTATCGTCTGAGTACATCACTGATATTACTTCAGGACCTATACACTCCCAGGTACTGTGTGTGTACATCACTGATATTACTTCAGGAGCTATACTCTCCGAGGTATTGTGTGTATACATCACTGATATTGCTTCAGGACCTATACACTCCCAGGTATTGTGTGTGTACATCACTGATATTACTTCAGGAGCTATACAGTCCCAGGTATTGTGTGTGTACATCACTGATATTACATCAGGAGCTATACACTCCCAGGTATTGTGTGTGTGTACATCACTGATATTACTTCAGGAGCTATACAGTTCCAGGTATTGTGTGTGTACATCACTGATATTACTTCAGGACCTATACACTCCCAGGTATTGTGTGTGTGTACATCACTGATATTACTTCAGGACCTATACACTCCCAGGTATTGTGTGTGTGTACATCACTGATATTACTTCAGGACCTATACACTCCCAGGTATTGTGTGAGTACATCACTGATATTACTTCAGGACCTATACACTCCAAGGTATTGTGTGTGTACATCACTGATATTGCTTCAGGAGCTATACACTCCCAGGTATTGTGTGAGTACATCACTGATATTACTTCAGGACCTATACACGCCGAGGTACTGTGTGTGTACATCACTGATATTACTTCAGGAGCTATACACTCCGAGGTATTGTGTGTGTACATCACTGATATTACATCAGGAGCTATACACTCCCAGGTTTTGTGTGTGTGTACATCACTGATATTACTTCAGGACCTATACACTCCCAGAGATTGTGTGTGTGTACATCACTGATATTACTTCAGGACCTATACACTCCCAGGTATCGTGTGAGTACATCACTGATATTGCTTCAGGACCTATACACTCCCAGGTATTGTGTGTGTACATCACTGATATTACTTGAGGTGCTGTACACTCCCAGGTATTGTGTGTGTGTACATCACTGATATTACTTCAGGAGCTATACACTCCGAGGTATTGTGTGTGTACATCACTGATATTACATCAGGAGCTATACACTCCCAGGTATTGTGTGTGTACATCACTGATATTACTTCAGGAGCTATACAGTCCCAGGTATTGTGTGTGTACATCACTGATATTACATCAGAAGCTATACACTCCCAGGTTTTGTGTGTGTGTACATCACTGATATTACTTCAGGAGCTATACACTCCCAGGTATTGTGTGTGTCCATCACTGATATTACATCAGGAGCTATACAGTCCCAGGTATTGTGTGTGTACATCACTGATATTACTTCAGGACCTATACACTCCCAGGTATTGTGTGTGTGTACATCACTGATATTACTTCAGGAGCTA